TTACATATCGTCCATGGATATATCTTACGTCAATGTAAGATATATCCATAACTTATCTGTTCTGACATCCTCATTTATCATCATGTAAAATGGATAGAGCTTTGCAGTTATACGATTACAGTTATAAAGGCTGGTCTGTTCTTTATCCTCTCAGGAGAATACAGATGGAGATTTGAAGTAGGGCTATGTCAGCAGCTCTATCCTCTGCATCGGACTTCCCTAGGGGAGAAGAGAAGAAAAAGTTATAAATATACACTAGATATACAAAAGTATGTGGACACCCCTTCAAATAAGTGGATTTGGCTATTTCAGCCACACCCGTTGCTGACAGGTGTATAAAGTCTAGCACACGGCCATGCAATCTCCATAGACAAACATTGGCAGTAGAATGGCCTTACTGAAGAGCTCAGTGACTTTCAACGTGGCACCGTCATAGGACGCCACCTTTCCAACAAGTCAGTTCGTCAAATTTCTGCACTGCTGGAGCTGCCCCAGTCAACTGAACTCTAAGTGCTGTTATTGTGAAGTGGAAGTGTCTAGGAGCAACAACGGCTCAGCCGTGAAGTGGTAGGTCACACAAGCCCACAGAATGGGACTGCCGAGTGTTGAAGCGCGTAAAAATCGTCTGTCCTCGGTTGCAACACTCACAACCGAGTTCCAAACTGCCTCTGGAAGCAAGGTCAGCACAATAACTGTTCGTCGGGAGCTTCATGAAATGGGTTTCCATGGCCAAGCAGCCGCACACAAGCCTAAGATCACCATGCGCAATGTCAAGAGTAGGCTGGAGTGGTTTAAAGCTCGCTGCCATTGGACTCTGGAGGAGTGGAAACGTGTTCTCTGGAGTGATGAATCACGCAGTCCGACGGACTACCAGGAGAACGCTACATGCCCCAATGCATTGTGCCAACTGTAAAGTAGGTGGAGGAGGAATAATGGTCTGGGGATGAGTTTCATGGTTCGGGCTAGGCCCCTTAGTTCCAGAGAAGGGAAATCTTAATGCTACAGCATACAATGACATTCTAGATCAGGGGTGTCAAACTCATTTTAGCTCAGGGGCCACATGGAGGAAAATCTATTCCCAAGTGGGCCGGACCGGAAAAATCATGGTATGTATAACTTAAAAACAACAACTTCAGATTGTTTTCTTTGTTTTAATACGATCAACATACAACATAAAGCTGGAGCCTGAGGACAGTGTGTCCAAAATAGTACAAGCACAACATCACTATTAATCATAAAACACGTCAAGTTTATTTGAAAATTCTAAAGAAAAAGAACACACAAACACACAATGCCTCAGTGATTCACAGAAGTATATCACAGATCACAGAACTATATCAGGGTGTCATTTCTCAGGCAGAAATGTAGATAAAAATAATGAAATCCTGTTCCCCAAACAAGTGCAAGAACCACAGAGTCAAGAATAGGTTAAATATACAAATAAAATAAAAACAATTAAAAACAATAGCACATCAACATAAAAACATATAAACATAAAGCTGGAGCCTGAGGACAGTGTCCAAAAGCACAACATCACTATTAATCATAAAACACCTCAAGTTATTTGAAAGTTCTGAGGACAAAGAACACACAAACACACAATGCCTCAGTGATTCACAGAAGTATATCACAGATCACAGAACTATATCAGGGTGTCATTTCTCAGGCAGAAATGTAGATAAAAATAATGAAATCCTGTTCCCCAAACAAGTGCAAGAACCACAGAGTCAAGAATAGGTTAAATATACAAATAAAATAAAATCAATTAAAAACAATAGCACATCAACATAAAAACATATAAACATAAATCTGAAAGCGTTGCTCAAACTCCCGTAACAGTCCCGTTATTTTATCTTTGAACCGCTTCATGTCTGCCACATGTTGGGTCGCGCACACATTTTTCAGACAGGGGAAGTGAGCTGCATCACCACCGGCAAGTTGCGTCTCCCACAATGACAGCTTCAACTTGAAAGAACGTATGCTGTCATAATACTGCGTGACAACTTTGTTGCGCCCTTGCAGCTGTTTGTTCAAGTTATTCAGGTGCTCTGTAACATCCACCATAAATGCAAGGTCCTGCATCCATTCTGCGGAATGAAATTCTAACACTGGTTTGCCCTTTTCTTCCATGAACTGTTCAATTTCTTCTCGTAAATCAAAGAAACGCCTCAGCACAGCACCTCGGCTTAACCATCTTACCTCAGTGTGGTATGGCAGGCCATAGATGTGGTCTTTCTCTCTGAGAAGGCTGTCAAACTGATGGTGATTCAGGCTTCTGGATCGGATGAAATTAACAGTTTGGATGACCACCTTCATGACGTTATCCATCTTTAATGACTTGCAACACAAAGCCTCCTGGTGCAAAATACAGTGAAAAGTCCAAAAATCACGTCCTCCATTTGCAGATTGCACTTTCTCTCTGAACTTTGTCACAACGCCTGCTTTTTTCCCGATCATTGAGGGCGCACCATCTGTAGCCAGGCTGACAGCGCGGGACCAGTCCACTCCGACCCTGTCCAGCGCGCCGACGAGTGCGGTAAAAATATCAGCTGCTGTCGTTGTATCTGTCATCGGCACCAACTCCACGAACTCCTCGGTGAAGGTCAATGTGTCATCAACTCCGCGGATGAAAATGGCCAGTTGTGCAACATCTGTAATGTCCGTGCTTTCATCAATTGCAACCGAAAACGCAATAAATGACTTTACTTTTTGCTTCAACTGGCTTTCCAAATCCACTGAAAGATCGGAAATCCTGTCTGCAACTGTGTTTCTTGTCAGGCTGATATTTGCAAAAGCCTGCCGCTTTTCAGGGCACACAATCTCCGCTGCCTTCATGCATGTTTTTACAAATTCACCCTCACTAAATGGTTTTGAAGCCACTGCGATTTCATTAGCAATGAGGTAGCTAGCTTTCACTGCAGCGTCACTGATGTCTCGGCTGTGAGTAAACACAGACTGCTGTTTCTTCAGACCCGCCAACAGTTCATTCACCTTCTCTCATCTCCGCTGTCCTTGAAAGTTGTCATATTTGTCGGCATGAAGACTCACATAGTGGCGACGAAGGTTATATTCTTTCAGCACTGCAACATGCTCTGAACACACCAAACATACAGCTTTCCCATTCAATTCCGTGAATAAATAGGACGACCATTTTTCTTGGAACACTCTGCACTCTGCGTCCACTTTTCTCTTTTTTGACAGAGACATATTGGGGCAATGAGGGTGCCAAAGCACATAATGTTAAAAGTAGAAGCCGTAATAAATATCGCGGGCAAAACAAAGTAGCTCATTGGCTGCACGTGCTTGACCTACTTGCTCTGCCCCGGTATAAACAGTTTGCTTGCTTAACACAATTGCTATTGCGCCATCCAGTGGACGTAATTGGAACAGCAGTTTATTTTATTGAAAAATTGCAGCGCATTTTTATACTTTACAATTTTTTTTTCTTTTTTTTTCGGACGTTTGCCGGACGTTTGACACCCCTGTTCTAGATGATTCTGTGCTTCCAACTTTGTGGCAACAGTTTGAGGAAGGCCAATTCCTGTTTCAGCATGCAATGCCCACGTGCACAAAGCGAGGTGTGGAAAAACATGACGGGCCTGCACATAGCCCTGACCTCAACCCCATCGGACACCTTTGGGATGAATTGGAACGCCAACTGCGAGCCAGACCTAATCGCCCAACATCAGTACTGACCTCACTAATGCTCATCGCTGAATGGAAGCAAGTCCCCGCAGCAATGTTCCAACATCTAGTGGAAAGCCTTCCCAGAAGAGTGGAGGCTGTTATAGAAGCAAAGGGGGGACCAACTCCATATTAATGCCCGTGATTTTGGAATGAGATGTTCGACCAGCAGGTGTCCACATACTTTTGGTCATGTAGTTGAACTATATTATGTAATGGCCATTGATATGAAAAGTAGGAAATTATTAATTTATGAAACACCTGTTTCATGTGCATTTTGGATTCATCCCAGTTTTAGGAGTTGGATTCATTATTAATCACACCAAGTGGGGTTTGAAGGGTATGAGAAATTGACAGCCTCCTGCACTGTATTCAGCAACATCGAATCTAAGGTTGTAACACAGTATATCCTTGCATCTACAAGAAAACATAACATTTAAGGGTACAGTATAGCACGAAACATTAAGATAACACCTGTTGACATGATCATTTCATATCGGATTAAAAGGTTCCTGGAACGTTCAATTAGAAGTCTTCCGGAAGTTTGAAATGGACGGACCAGAAGTGTGCAACAGCGGTTAGACTGTCACGAAATCGAAGCATTTGTAAAATTATCTGTCAAACATTTGATTGTTATTTAATGCCCTTTGGTACTAGCTAGTTCTATCAATGGAGGAGATGTAACACAATAAGGCACCCTCTGTCATAGATCGGTATTACACACAATGGTATAAAACAGGTAGGCCTAATTTATTAAGGTCTCGTAAAGTGTCGACCACTGAACTTGGGTGTCAACATGATACCAACATATGTTTTGGTTTTGGTCATGGCAGCCTGACGGCCTTTATGTCATTTACAGTAATTTCATAGAATGTGCAGTTGACTCATTTGTGTTAGTGTTGGGCTGGTCCAAAAACCTGCAAACCCTTAGCCCTCCTTGTCCATGGTTCGTTACCACTGGTTTATCGACATTGTTATGAATTAATAAAGTTGTAACTAAATGTGTATTCGTTGTGCTTAGATATCAAGGGTGCGGCTTCTTCAGCATTCAAACAGGTAAGAACGTCAGTGTTCATTTCCTGCTACTGAGATGAGTAGATACACCTGCTACACTTCAAATTGGACAATGTGCAGCTCATCAACAACACTAAATCAAATCAACGCGTTGCTTCGCTACTTCCAACATGGACATTATGATTTCAAGTCAGTAAACGTAAACATGGCGTTAATCTCTCTTTTTACAGAATCTGTGTGATCACACTGGCAAAGAGTCACCCTATCCTTCAGAATGGCAGGACAATCAAGAGCATCAACTATCAGATAAACGCTGGCTGCAGTCGCCTGCAGAACAGTGTCTGGAAAGTCGAAGAGAATATGTACTGCTAGATTTAAAAAGAATCATAATTGTATATAATCTGGTATATTATCTTCCATACATACTCTGGCATATTATATGACATTATTATCTGGTAAATTATACTACTGTTATATACTATGGTATTGTCATCCTCTGAGTTTTCTGACTTGGGACTGTCAAACTAACTACACTAACTAACACGTGTCTTCCTCATTCCCAGGGAGGGCAGTTCCTCACAGAGTTCGCTCCTTTGTGTAGAATATCATGTACAGATGGAGTACACCATTTACAGGTGATTTCAACCTTTGCCCTCGTGTTAAGATTTTCACCTCTGCAGATAATCCACCCTTTATGGTTAGTGCCATTCACTACTATTAGATCTTTTGAAATGATCCTGAAATGTAATTCTGGTTGATCTTTTCAGCTGCATAAGGGGTCGGCTATTGGAGGTCAATGAGGTTGTTCTTGAAAGGCCAAAACTTTTACTGGGAAAGGTGAGGAGCATTTCCATAAGCTTCATACCAGTTAAAACACATTTTTGCGTTCTCTAGTGTTCTTCATTTACATGTACCCCATTGAGAAGTTAAATGACATTAGCATGGCTAACTCTCCCACCTATCTTTCGTGTGTATCTGACCAGCCTTCCACTGAGGGATACATTGCTGTCATCCTCCCTAAAATAGAGGAGAGCAAGACGGTCACTAACGGTCTCCTGAGCAGAGAGGAGCACGAGAGCGTCGTCTCTAAACGGACCAGCAGCAACCAGCCTGAGTCATGCTGAGGAATGAGGAGGTCACAGGGACTCATCACACTCACCTCAGCTGGAGTGACTGGGGCAGCTTTGTTGCAGGGGGCTCTTGCCTCCTTCAGACCCAGCCAGACCAAGGTACCTACATCAGATCTACATCACAGCATAGTGCATAACCCTGTCTAGATATGGACTTATGCCCGTGGTGGATGACAGTGGGGTGATGGAGTTTCTATAGCCACTACCAGCAGCAGCCAATCCAGGGCAAATACTTTTGTTTGCTTTGTTGTAACATTGAAGAAATTGAGCCAGTTAAGTTTTAGGAGATACCTTTTTTAGCTCTTGATGATGATTGTTGATGGAATGTGAGATATAATTTTCGAAGGAGGAAGTTCCCAAGATATTTCCGTTACGTCGGTTATTGACTATGTACCAAACAAGCCCTTCTTTTACTTTTTTTAATGCGTACTGTACATACCTAAATAAATGACCCACTCCACCCTGTTTTAAGAAAAATAATGTTTATTTAGATTTGTGTTCAATTTATCAATCATTTAACTGTCAAAATAATAATGGTCCAAAACTAAATCATTTTTTTAACATCTGGGGCTTTACTCAACAGCAGCCGACTTTAGCTGCACTAATTCACAACCATCGCTAAAGCTTTATATGGTGGTTTAGTCTTCACACGAACCATTCAGGTTTAGTAGGACCAAAATCATCACATCTGTGGATATACAGTGGCTTGCTAAAGTATTCACCCCCCTTGGCATTTTTCCTATTTTGTTGCCTTACAACCTGGAATTAAAATGGATTTTTTGGGGGTTTGTATCATTTGATTTACACAACATGCCTACCACTTTGAAGATGCAAAATATTTTTTCTTGTGAAACAAACAAGAAAATAGACAAAAAAACAGACAACCTGAGCGTGCATAACTATTCACCCCCCCAAAGGCAATACTTTGTAGAGCCACCTTTTGCAGCAATTACAGCTGCAAGTTTCTTGGGGTATGTCTCTATAAGCTTGGCACATCTAGCCACTGGGATTTTTGCCCATTCTTCAAGGCAAAACTGCTCCAGCTCCTTCAAGTTGGATGGGTTCCGCTGGTTAACAGTAATCTTTAAGTCATACCACAGATTCTCAATTGGATTGAGGTCTGGGCTTTGTCTAGGCCATTCCAAGACATTTAAATGTTTTCCCTTAAACCACTCGAGTGTTGCTTTAGCAGTATGCTTAGGGTCATTGCCCTGCTGGAAGATGAACCTCCGTCCCAGTCTCAAATATCTGGAAGACTGAAACAGGTTTCCCTCAAGAATTTCTCTGTATTTAGCGCCATCCATCATTCCTTCAATTCTGACCAGTTTCCCAGTCCCTGCCGATTAAAAACATCCCCACAGCATGATGCTGCCACCACCATGCTTCACTGTGGGGATGGTGTTCTGGGGCGTTTTCCTTGATGGCCAAAAAGCTCAATTTTAGTCTCATCTGACCAGAGTACCCTCTTCCATATGTTTGGGGAGTCTCCCACATGGCTTTTGGCGAACACCATATGTGTTTGCTTTTTTCTTTCTTTAAGAAATGGCTTTTTTCTGGCAACTCTTCCGTAAAGCCCAGCTCTGTGGAGTCAACGGCTTAAAGTGGTTCCAATAGACAGATACGCCAATCTCCGCTGTGGAGCTTTGCAGCTACTTCAGGGTTATCTTTGGTCTCTTTGTTGCCTCTCTGATTAATGCCCTCCTTGCCTGGGCTGTGAGTTTTGGTGGGCGGCCCTCTCTTGGCAGGTTTGTTGTGGTGCCATATTCTTTCCATTTTTTAATAATGGATTTAATGGTGCTCCGTGGGATGTTCATCGTTTCGGATATGTTTTTATAACCCAACCCTGATCTGTACTTCTCCACAACTTTGTCCCTGACCTGTTTGGAGAGCTCCTTGGTCTTCATGGTGCCGCTTGCTTGGTGGTGCCCCTTGCTTAGTGGTGTTGCAGACTTTGGGGCCTTTCAGAACAGGTGTATATATACTGAGATCATGTGACAGATCATGTGACACTTAGATTGCACACAGGTGGACTTTATTTAACTAATTATGTAACTTCTGAAGGTAATTGGTTGCACCAGATCTTATTTAGGGGCTTCATAGCAAAGGGGGTGAATACATATGCACGCACCACTTTTCCGTTATTTATTTTGTATAATTCTTTGAAACAAGTTTTTTTTTTCATTTCACTTCACCAATTTCACCAATTTTGTGTATGTCCATTACATGAAATCCAAATAAAAATCCATTTAAATTACAGGTTGTAATGCAACAAAATAGGAAAAATGCCAAGGGGGATGAATACTTTTGCAAGGCACTGTAGAGATCTATGCTTCAAGTACCACACTAATACACCGTGATACACAATAGCCCACAAGGCATTCTTAGGCTTGCGTCCCAAATGAAACCCTATTTGCTATATATAGTCCACTACTTTTAACCAGAGCAACTAAAAGTAGTGCACTATATAGGGAATAGGGTGCCATTTGGGGCGTACACTTAATTACAAGTACACTTCATAACAAGTACACTTCATAAGGAACAGCTTCAAAAACCACAGTTCATTTGATTTGACTCATGCGCTGGACCAACAGTCTTTTAGAAAGGTATTCTGAAAACATGGATAAAACAGTATACCACACATACACGGAATATGATTCAATACTCTACTGACAGTAGAAAGTCAGTCGGATAAACTTGTCTCCGCCTCAGCTGAAATAGAGCAATAATAAGAGCCTCATGTGTCAGTCAGTTTATAGCAAGCCAAGTGGCATAATTCAGTGATTAAACCATCCATTTACACTCTTATTTGGCATCAAAGTGAGATTGCATTAATTACAAACAATAATTGCTAAGCCATGATGGGATTTGGTTGGTGTACAACAGTGAGAGGAACATCAGACATCAGCTTTGTCCTTGTCTCAGATCTGTTTGGTCGGTCTTGCCAACTCCTCATGACAATGGCCATAGGCTAGGGATCAGAAAGCTGGGGTAACAGCCCAAATCACAGGGTAAGATTCAAAGACTTGTGGTGATGACGGCATCATGCTCTGACCATGGCTTTCATTTCAGCATATTTCTTCTTTTTTTTTCATACATGTGATACATTTGGCTGAGATGTGCTACAGGTTACAGTTACACGACAAAGTGAATGGGCTGATTACACTGACGGGCACATAAGTGAGCGTTTTTTTGTTGCCATAATTGTGTCCGAGTGAGTGAGGCATCTGTCGCCCCCCGGCGGTTGACAATGGTACGCTCCAGCTCTGTGATAGGTAATACAGGTTAGGGGTCAAAGGTCGCTGGACTGGACTACTTGCTCTCCAGGAAGGTGAGGTTGGCCATATGCTTCTCCAGGGACTTGACCCCGAAGCCGTTGCTGTTCTTGCCATTGAGCGCGTCGTCTTTGACGGGCGTGGACGACTGCCTGTCCCTCCAGCTCTGTGGAGAGCCCAGACTGCTTCTCTCTGACTTATACTGGAGGCACAAACACAGGATATGGTAGTCACTTTACCCCTACCTACATGTACAAATTACCTCAACTAACCTGTACCCCCGCACATTGACTCGGTACCAGTACCCCCTATTCGTCTGAATGGACGAATAGCCTCGTTATTGTTATTTTATTGTGTTACTTTTTATTTTTTCTTATTATTTATGTAGTAAATATTTTCTTAACTCTATTTCTTGAACTGCATTGTTGGTTAAGGGCTCGTAAGAAAGCATTCCACGGTAAGGTCTACACTTTTTGTATTCGGCGCATGTGACAAATACAATTAATTTTATTTTTATTTTTAAATCGAATCAATGTAGAAATGGTGGAGAAAATGACCACATTTACATTTTAGTCATTTAGCAGACGCTCTTATCCAGAGCGACTTACAGGAGCATTTAGGGTTAAGTGCCTTGCTTAAGGGCACATCGACAGATTTTTCACCTAGTCGGCCCGGGGATTAGAACCAGCAACCTTTCGGGTACTGGCACAACGCTCTTACCCACTAAGCTACCTGCCACCATTGACATATTCATCTGTACAAGTATACTCAAACCCCAGTAAACATTGGTTACTTGGACATCTTGTTAGATGAGCTGATGTCAACTGTGACCTCACCTTTCTGACAAGCTTATTACAGACTGGCAGGAGGTAGATCACCACAGTCATGATGCCTCTAGTGTTCTGAATGGACGAATCCACCTAGAGACAGACAGAGAAAAATATTACAAAAACATATCAAGGATGGTGGTCTAGATAGAATGTAATTCATCCTAACAACATAAAGATAATGACTTTATTATCCCTGTGGGGAAATGTTGGAAAACCACATGGGAAAGCTGATTGGCTAAGTTGTCTCTAAAGAGTTTGCTAAAACCAACTCTAGACAACAAACAGACAGAGCCTCAATTTCCTGCTCCATTTAAAAAGGCCTTTCAGCAATGACCTTTGTCTGATTAAAACACCCTGACAGACTAACAGAGGACCGATCTGTCTAGTTAATGACAACTTGAGGGGAAAGCCAATGGCTATATAACCGATCCACATTAATCACAGAAGCTCATGGGTGTGTCCCAAATGCCACCCTATTCCCTACTTTTGACCAGAGTCCTGTGGGCTCAGGTCAAAAGTAGTGCACTATTTAGGGAATAGGGTGCCATTTGGGATGCGACCCATGTTATTCTCTAATATCTCATTCTGACTGTAACCTTCCCCATTAGTAAAAAGTGACCCATGCCAGTTCATCACTGTCCAACTGATTTTAATGGAGGTTAATTAAGCTCAATGTCATTAAAGGGCTTAATTTTACAATCATGTTTTCATGATTGACCTCTCTGTAAAGCAGTAACCAATGTTTGCCCAATGCTGCCAATGCTGATGAATGGGTTGACTTTCTGTTCTTTTTCATTGCAGTTTATCAATCCTCCTTGCCAGTTTATTTTCTGTGCATTGTCTCATACTCTTCTCTATAACCACGTCTTTTGTGACATGATAGAACTGTATTTATAGTAATAGAACTCTCCAGTCAATATCTGTACTGAATTCTCTATGACTGACAGACTAATTATTTAGCTGAATATTTGAACTAAGAACTTAAATAAAAGTGGATTTTATTACACAAACAAATCCAGTCATTGACAACTAAGGCTGACCCCAATTAGTTGACTGGTTGATTGTTTTGTCGTTAGGCTGTTGGTCGACCGAGATTGTTTTAGTCGAGCAGTAACATACAGTGGGGAAAAAAAGTATTTAGTCAGCCACCAATTGTGCAAGTTCTCCCACTTAAAAAGATGAGAGAGGCCTGTAATTGTCATCATAGGTACACGTCAACTATGACAGACAAAATGAGGAAAAAAATATCCAGAAAATCACATTGTAGGATTTTTAATGAATTTATTTGCAAATTATGGTGGAAAATAAGTATTTGGTCAATAACAAAAGTTTCTCAATACTTTGTTATATACCCTTTGTTGGCAATGACACAGGTCAAATGTTTTCTGTAAGTCTTCACAAGGTTTTCACACACTGTTGCTGGTATTTTTGCCCATTCCTCCATGCAGATCTCCTCTAGAGCAGTGATGTTTTGGGGCTGTCGCTGGGCAACACAGACTTTCAACTCCCTCCAAAGATTTTCTATGGGGTTGAGATCTGGAGACTGGCTAGGCCACTCCAGGACCTTGAAATGCTTCTTACGAAGCCACTCCTTCGTTGCCCGGGCGGTGTGTTTGGGATCATTGTCATGCTGAAAGACCCAGCCACGTTTCATCTTCAATGCCCTTGCTGATGGAAGGAGGTTTTCACTCAAAATCTCACGATACATGGCCCCATTCATTCTTTCCTTTACAGGGATCAGTCGTCCTGGTCCCTTTGCAGAAAAACAGCCCCAAAGCATGATGTTTCCACCCCCATGCTTCACAGTAGGTATGGTGTTCTTTGGATGCAACTCAGCATTCTTTGTCCTCCAAACATGACGAGTTGAGTTTTTACCAAAAAGTTTTATTTTGGTTTCATCTGACCAAATGACATTCTCCCAATCCTCTTCTGGATCATCCAAATGCACTCTAGCAAACTTCAGATGGGCCTGGACATGTACTGGCTTAAGCAGGGGGACACGTCTGGCACTGCAGGATTTGGGTCCCTGGCGGCGTAGTGTGTTACTGATGGTAGGCTTTGTTACTTTGGTCCCAGCTCTCTGCAGGTCATTCACTAGGTCCCCCCGTGTGGTTCTGGGATTTTTGCTCACCGTTCTTGTGATCATTTTGACCCCACGGGGTGAGATCTTGCGTGGAGCCCCAGATCGAGGGAGATTATCAGTGGTCTTGTATGTCTTCCATTTCCTAATAATTGCTCCCACAGTTGATTTCTTTAAACCAAGCTGCTTCCCTATTGCAGATTCAGTCTTCCCAGCCTGGTGCAGGTCTACAATTTTGTTTCTGGTGTCCTTTGACAGCTCTTTGGTCTGGGCCATAGTGGAGTTTGGAGTGTGACTGTTTGAGGTTGTGGACAGGTGTCTTTTATACTGATAACAAGTTCAAACAGGTGCCATTAATACAGGTAATGAGTGGAGGACAGAGGAGCCTCTTAAAGAAGAAGTTACAGGTCTGTGAGAGCCAGAAATCTTGCTTGTTTGTAGGTGACCAAATACTTATTTTCCACCATAATTTGCAAATAAATTCATAAAAAAATCCTACAATGTGATTTTCTGGATTTTTTTTCTCAATTTGTCTGTCATAGTACAGGCCTCTCTCATCTTTTTAAGTGGGAGAACTTGCACAATTGGTGGCTGACTAAATACTTTTTTTCCCCACCGTACATATACATATACATATATATACATATACATGTATATATATATATACATATATACATATACATGTATATATATATACACATGTATATATATACAGTGGGGAGAACAAGTATTTGATACACTGCCGATTTTGCAGGTTTTCCTACTTACAAAGCATGTAGAGGTCTGTAATTTTTATCATAGGTACACGTCAACTGTGAGATATGGAATCTAAAACAAAAATCCAGAAAATCACATTGTATGATTTTTAAGTAATTAATTTGCATTTTATTGCATGACATAAGTATTTGATACATCAGAAAAGCAGAACTTAATATTTGGTACAGAAACCTTTGTTTGCAATTACAGAGATCATACGTTTCCTGTAGGTCTTGACCAGGTTTGCACACACTGCAGCAGGGATTTTGGCCCACTCCTCCATACAGACCTTCTCCAGATCCTTCAGGTTTCGGGGCTGTCGCTGGGCAATACGGACTTTCAGCTCCCTCCAAAGATTTTCTATTGGGTTCAGGTCTGGAGACTGGCTAGGCCACTCCAGGACCTTGAGATGCTTCTTACGGAGCCACTCCTTAGTTGCCCTGGCTGTGTGTTTCGGGTCGTTGTCATGCTGGAAGACCAATGGAGGTATCTTCAATGCTCTTACTGAGGGAAGGAGGTTGTTGGCCAAGATCTCGCGATACATGGCCCCATCCATCCTACCCTCAATACGGTGCAGTCGTCCTGTCCCCTTTGCAGAAAAGCATCCCCAAAGAATGATATTTCCACCTCCATGCTTCACGGTTGGGATGGTGTTCTTGGGGTTGTACTCATCCTTCTTCTTCCTCCAAACACGGCGAGTGGAGTTTAGACCAAAAAGCTCTATTTTTGTCTCATCAGACCAAATGACCTTCTCCCATTCCTCCTCTGCATCATCCAGATGGTCATTGGCAAACTTCAGACGGGCCTGGACATGCGCTGGCTTGAGCAGGGGGACCTTGCGTGCGCTGCAGGATTTTAATCCATGACGGCGTAGTGTGTTACTAATTGTTTCCTTTGAGACTGTGGTCCCAGCTCTCTTCAGGTCATTGACCAGGTCCTGCCGTGTAGTTCTGGGCTGATCCCTCATCTTCCTCATGATCATTGATGCCCCACGAGGTGAGATCTTGCATGGAGCCTAAGACCGAGGGTGGTTGACCGTCATCTTAAACTTCTTCCATTTTCTAATAATTGCGCCAACAGTTGTTGCCTTCTCACCAAGCTGCTTGCCTATTGTCCTGTAGCCCATTCCAGCCTTGTGCAGGTCTACAATGTTATCCCTGATGTCCTTACACAGCTCTCTGGTCTTGGCCATTGTGGAGAGGTTGGAGTCTGTTTGATTGAGTGTGTGGACAGGTGTCTTTTATGCAGGTAACGAGTTCAAACAGGTGCAGTTAATACAGGTAATGAGTGGAGAACAGGAGGGCTTCTTAAAGAAAAACTAACAGGTCTTTGAGAGCCAGAGTTCTTACTGGTTGGTAGGTGATCAAATACTTATGTCATGCAATAAAATGCAAATGACTTACTTAAAAATCTTCAACTGTATACAGTGGGGAGAACAAGTATTTGATACACTGCCGATTTTGCAGGTTTTCCTACTTACAAAGCATGTAGAGGTCTGTAATTTTTATCATAGGTACACGTCAACTGTGAGATATGGAATCTAAAACAAAAATCCAGAAAATCACATTGTATGATTTTTAAGTAATTAATTTGCATTTTATTGCATGACATAAGTATTTGATCACCTACCAACCAGTAAGAATTCCGGCTCTCACAGACCTCTTAGTTTTTCTTTAAGAAGCCCTCCTGTTCTCCACTCATTACCTGTATTAACTGCACCTGATTGAACTCGTTACCTGTATAAAAGACACCTGTCCACACACTCAATCAAACAGACTCCAACCTCTCCACAATGGCCAAGACCAGAGAGCTGTGTAAGGACATCAGGGATAAAATTGTAGACCTGCACAAGGCTGGGATGGGCTACAGGACAATAGGCAAGCAGCTTGGTGAGAAGGCAACAACTGATGGCGCAATTATTAGAACATGGATGAAGTTCAAGATGACGGTCAATCACCCTCGGTCTGGGGCTCCATGCAAGATCTCACCTCGTGGGGCATCAATGATCATGAGGAAGGTGAGGGATCAGCCCAGAACTACACGGCAGGACCTGGTCAATGACCTGAAGAGAGGTGGAGGAATGGAGGAATGGGAAAGGGTCATGTGGTCTGATGAGAAAAATATATAGCTTTTTGGTCTAAACTCCACTCGCCGTGTTTGGTGGAAGAAGAAGGATGAGTACAACCCCAAGAACACCATCCCAACCGTGAAGCATGGAGGTGGAAACATCATTCTTTGGGGATGCTTTTCTGCAAAGGGGACAGGACGACTGCACCGTATTGAGGGGAGGATGGATGGGGCCATGTATCGCAAGATCTTGGCCAACAACCTCCTTCCCTCAGTAAGAGCATTGAAGATGGGTCGTGGCTGGGTCTTCCAGCATGACAACGACCCGAAACACACAGCCAGGGCAACTAAGGAGTGGCACCGTAAGAAGCATCTCAAGGTCCTGGAGTGGCCTAGCCAGTCTCCAGACCTGAACCCAATAGAAAATCTTTGGAGGGAGCTGAAAGTCCGTATTGCCCAGCGACAGCCCCGAAACCTGAAGGATCTGGAGAAGGTCTGTATGGAGGAGTGGGCCAAAATCCCTGCTGCAGTGTGTGCAAACCTGGTCAAGACCTACAGGAAACGTATGATCTCTGTAATTGCAAACAAAGGTTTCTGTACCAAATATTAAGTTCTGCTTTTCTGATGTATCAAATACTTATGTCATGCAATAAAATGCAAATTAATTACTTAAAAATCATACAATGTTATTTTCTGGATTTTTGTTTTAGATTCCGTCTCTCACAGTTGAAGTGTACCTATGATAAAAATTACAGACCTCTACATGCTTTGTAAGTAGGAAAACCTGCAGTGTATCAAATACTTGTTCTCCCCACTGTATATATATACAGTGAGGGAAAAAAGTATTTGATCCCCTGCTGATTTTGTATGTTTGCCCACTGACAAAGTAATGATCAGTCTATAATCCAGAAAAACGCATGTCAAAAATGTTATAAATTGATTTGCATTTTAATGAGGGAAATAAGTATTTGACCCCTCTGCAAAACATGACTTAGTACTTGGTGGCAAAACCCTTGTTGGCAATCACAGAGGTCAGACGTTTCTTGTAGTTGGCCACCAGGTTTGCACACATCTCAGGAGGGATTTTGTCCCACTCCTCTTTCCAGATCTTCTCCAAGTCATTAAAGTTTCGAGCCTGACGTTTGGCAACTCGAACCTTCAGCTCCCTCCACAGATTTTCTATGGGATTAAGGTTTGGAGACTGGCTAGGCCACTCCAGGACCTTAATGTGGTTCTTCTTGAGCCACTCCTTTGTTGCCTTGGCCGTGTGTTTTGGGTTATTGTCATGCTGGAATACCCATCCACGACCCATTTTCAATGCCCTGGCTGAGGGAAGGAGGTTCTCACCCAAGATTTGACAGTACATGGCCCCGTCCATCGTCCCTTTGATGCAGTGAAGTTGTCCTGTCCCCTTAGCAGAAAAACACCCCCAAAGCATAATGTTTCCACCTCCATGTTTGACGGTGGGGATGGTGTTCTTGGGGTCATAGGCAGCATTCCTCCTCCTCCAAACACGGCGAGTTGAGTTGATGCCAAAGAGCTCCATTTTGGTCTCATCTGACCACAACACTTTCACCCAGTTCTCCTCTGAATCATTCAGATATTCATTGGCAAACTTCAGACGGGCATGTATATTTGCTCTCTTGAGCAGGGGGACCTTGCGGGCGCTGCAGGATTTCAGTACTTCACGGCGTAGTGTGTTACCAATTGTTTTCTTGGTGACTATGGTCCTAGCTGCCTTGAGATCATTGACAAGATCCTCCCGTGTAGTTCTGGGCTGATTCCTCACCGTTCTCATGATCATTGCAACTCCACGAGGTGAGATCTTGCATGGAGCCCCAGGCCAAGGGAGATTGACAGTTATTTTGTATTTCTTCCATTTGCGAATAATCGCACCAACTGTTGTCACCTTCTCACCAAGCTGCTTGGCGATGGTCTTGTAGCCCATTCCAGCCTTGTGTAGGTCTATAATCTTATCCCTGACATCCTTGGAGAGCTCTATGGTCTTGGCCATGGTGGAGAGTTTGGAATCTGATTGATTGATTGCTTCTGTGGACAGGTGTCTTTTATACAGGTAACAAGCTGAGATTAGAAGCACTCCCTTTAAGAGTGTGCTCCTAATCTCAGCTCGTTACCTGTATAAAAGACACCTGGGAGCCAGAAATCGTTCTGATTGAGAGGGGGTCAAATACTTATTTCCCTCATTAAAATGCAAATCAATTTATAACATTTTTGACATGCGTTATTCTGGATTTTGTTGTTGTTATTCTGTCTCTCACTGTTCAAATAAACTTACCATAAAAATTATAGACTGATCATTTCTTTGTCAGTGGGCAAACATACAAAATCAGCAGGGGATAAAATAATTTTTTCCCTCACTGTACATATATATATACACACATACATATATACATATATAGATACAGTTGAAGTCGGAAGTTTACATTCACTTAGGATGGAGTCATTAAAACTCGTTTTTCAACCACTCCACAAATGTCTTGTTAACAAACTATAGTTTTGGCAAGTCGGTTAGGACATCTACTTATTTGACACAAGTAATTTTTCCAACAATTGTTTACAGACAGATTATTTCACTTATAATTCACTGTATCACAATTCCAGTGGGTCAGAAGTTTACATAAACTAAGTTGACTGTGCCTTTAAACAGCTTGGAAAATTCCAGAAGATGATGTCATGGCTTTAGAAATTTCTGCTAGGCTAATTGACGTCATTTGAGTCAATTGGAGGTGTACCTGTGGATGAATTTCAAGGCCTACCTTCAAACTCAGTGCCTCTTTGCTTGACATCATGGGAAAATCAAAAGAAATCAGCCAAGACCACAGAAAAATAATTGTAGACCTCCACATGTCTGGATCATCCTTGGGAGGAGCAATTTCCAAACGCCTGAAGGTACCACGTTCATCTGTACAAACAATAGTACGCAAGTATAAACACCATGGGACCACGCAGCCGTCATACCGCTCAGGAAGGAGATACATTCTGTGTCCTAGAGATGAATGTACTTTGGTGCGAAAAGTGCAAATCAATCCCAGAACAACAGCAAAGGACCTTGTGAAGATGCTGGAGGAAACAGGTACAAAAGTATCTATATCCACAGTAAAACGAGTCCTATATCGACATAACCTGAAAGGCCGCTCAGCAAGGGAGAAGCCACTGTTCCAAAACCGCCATAAAAAAGCCAGACTACGGTTTGCACATGGGGACAAAGATCATACTTTTTGGAGAAATGTCCTCTGGTCTGATGAAACAAAAATAGAACTGTTTGGCCATAATGACCATCGTTATGTTTGGAGGAAAAGGGGGCGGCTTGCAAGCCGAAGAACACCATCCCAACCATGAAGCACAGGGGTTGCAGCATCAAGCTGTGGGGGTGCTTTGCTGCAGGAGGGACTGGTGCACTTCACAAAATAGATGGCATCATGAGGAAGGAAAATTATGTGGATATATTGAAGCAACATCAAGACATCAGTCAGGAAGTTAAAGCTTGGTCGCAAATGGGTCTTCCAAATCGACACTGACCCCAAGCATACTTCCAAAGTTGTGGCAAAATGGCTTAAGGACAACAAAGTCAAGATATTGGAGTGGCCATCACAAAGCTCTGACCTCAATCCTATAGAAAATGTGTGGGCAGAACTGAAAAAGCATGTGTGAGCAAGGAGGCCTACAAACCTGACTCAGTTACACCAGCTCTGTCAGGAGGAATGGGCCAAAATTCATCCAACTTATTGTGGGAAGCTTGTGGAAGGCTACCCGAAACGTTAAACAATTTAAAGGCAATGCTACCAAATACTAATTGAGTGTATGTAAACTTCTGACCCACTTGGAATGTGATGAAAGAAATAAAAGCTGAAATAAATCATTCTCTCTACTATTATTCTGACATTTCACATTCTTAAAATAAAGTGGTGATCCTAACTGACCTAAGACAGGGATTTTTTATTAGGATTAAATGTCAAGACTTGTGAAAAACGGAGTTTAAATGTATTTGGCTAAAGTGTATGTAAACTTCCGACTTCAACTGTATACAGTGGGGAGAACAAGTATTTGATACACTACCGATTTTGCAGGTTTTCCTACTTACAAAGCATGTAGAGGTCTGTAATTTTTTATCATAGGTACACGTCAACTGTGAGATATGGAATCTAAAACAAAAATCCAGAAAATCACATTGTATGATTTTTAAGTAATTAATTTGCATTTTATTGCATGACATAAGTATTTGATCACCTACCAACCAGTAAGAATTCCGGCTCTCACAGACCTCTTAGTTTTTCTTTAAGAAGCCCTCCTGTTCTCCACTCATTACCTGTATTAACTGCACCTGATTGAACTCGTTACCTGTATAAAAGACACCTGTCCACACACTCAATCAAACAGACTCCAACCTCTCCACAATGGCCAAGACCAGAGAGCTGTGTAAGGACATCAGGGATAAAATTGTAGACCTGCACAAGGCTGGGATGGGCTACAGGACAATAGGCAAGCAGCTTGGTGAGAAGGCAACAACTGTTGGCGCAATTATTAGAAAATAGAAGAAGTTCAAGATGACGGTCAATCACCCTCGGTCTGGGGCTCCATGCAAGATCTCACCTCGTGGGGCATCAATGATCATGAGGAAGGTGAGGGATCAGCCCAGAACTACACGGCAGGACCTGGTCAATGACCTGAAGAGAGATGGAGGAATGGGAAAAGGTCATGTGGTCTGATGAGAAAAATATATAGCTTTTTGGTCTAAACTCCACTCGCCGTGTTTGGTGGAAGAAGAAGGATGAGTACAACCCCAAGAACACCATTCCAACCGTGAAGCATGGAGGTGGAAACATCATTCTTTGGGGATGCTTTTCTGCAAAGGGGACAGGACGACTGCACCGTATTGAGGGGAGGATAGATGGGGCCATGTATTGCAAGATCTTGGCCAACAACCTCCTTCCCTCAGTAAGAGCATTGAAGATGGGTCGTGGCTGGGTCTTCCAGCATGACAACGACCCGAAACACACAGCCAGGGCAACTAAGGAGTGGCTCCGTAAGAAGCATCTCAAGGTCCTGGAGTGGCCTAGCCAGTCTCCAGACCTGAACCCAATAGAAAATCTTTGGAGGGAGCTGAAAGTCCGTATTGCCCAGCGACAGCCCCGAAACCTGAAGGATCTGGAGAAGGTCTGTATGGAGGAGTGGGCCAAAATCCCTGCTGCAGTGTGTGCAAACCTGGTCAAGACCTACAGGAAACATATGATCTCTGTAATTGCAAACAAAGGTTTCTGTACCAAATATTAAGTTCTGCTTTTCTGATGTATCAAATACTTATGTCATGCAATAAAATGCAAATTAATTACTTAAAAATCATACAATGTGATTTTCTGGATTTTTGTTTTAGATTCCGTCTCTCACAGTTGAAGTGTACCTATGATAAAAATTACAGACCTCTACATGCTTTGTAAGTAGGAAAACCTGCAAAATCGCCAGTGTATCAAATACTTGTTCTCCCCACTGTAAATGTACCCATTTGGGGATCTGATAGTATTTCTGATTGGCTTAACGCACCACCACTAATGACCTGTGGAGCTTCTCAAAGTAATGTTTTTTTCACCTCAAACAGCAAGCAAACAAAGTCTGTTTTTACATCCATTGAGAATCACAATAGTTCCTCAATGTATTAGAAAAATCTTTCCAGCTCTCTCCCCTTTGATAACCACTCAGCGTGAAAGGGAAAAATGTCATGCCCTGATCCAGTGGAAACGCCATTAAATAGGCCTACCTGATTACTTCTTATCAGTGCTTGACTTGGACTGAAATAGGTTCCGGTACTCATTTTGGGTGCTTCGGGGAAGACCCAAGTTAATAGTTGATACAATGTTTCAAGTTCCTTGCAGACAGGCCATGTGTAGCCAATGTGATTTCTAGGATATTTATTTTTATCTGGATATTTTCTACCTGCAGGTTGCAATGTTTTTATTTGTTGGCTTTATGTAGGCTATTTTTACATATTGGCAATGGCAATAGAAGTTACTTTTTTAGGTTTGTATCATTTTCATTTAGATAGAATTTTAATTAACCACATGACAATGATTTTGCGATATGAAGACATTATTATAAATTAAATGAAACTGTTTCACGAAAATGTGCATATACAAACCATAACTGGCACACAGATCGGTAGAAATTGTAAGATAAATTGTCATTCCACATGAGGAAGGTTGCTGACTCCTCGTGTAGCCTATTACCGGCAACTTCAGGAGCGTAATGGCAGAATCTGTGAAAGCCAGCAGGAGCTGGAGGAGAATAGTTGGGTCGGGTTACGTTTTTTCTTCTGGTTATCTAGATCTCTGGCGCCCTCTTGGGGCATTTGTCTTATTTCATTAAAACGTAAGCTCAATGCATATAGTTGCTTTTATTAAAACACATAGGCTGTGTCTATATATGGAAAAGTATACGTTTAAAAATGTAGACCAGGGTTCTTCAATCCTGGTCCTGGAGGGCCGAAACACTTCTGTTTTTTATTTCTACCTGGTAGTTAATTGCACTCACCTGGTGTCCCAGGTCTGAATTAGCCCCTGATTAGAAGGAGAGGATGAAAAACAGAGGTGTCTCGGCCCTCCAGGACCAGGATTGAAGAACCCTGATGTAGACCAATCGATTGGTCGAAAGAACCGACGGTCGACCAAGATTTGTTTTTTGTCGGGGACAGCCCTATTGACAACATCATAGTTCCACATACGTCACTGTAAGGCTGGTGTATCAGTAATAGTACCTTCTGGAAGGTGGCAGTCTTGCCCTGTACCGGCGTCCTCACACCCATCTGCAGCTGCTGACATAAGCCCATAAGCTTCTCCATCTCTGACAGCACTACCACCTTCTCTTCATCCGTCAGCTGTTAGAGGGAAAAGGAGAGACATATTTAGTTATGTCAAAATAAAAGTCAAAATGTGATCACAAAAAAAGTTGCTCTATTAAAACACAGTTAAGGTTTAGGAGTAGGGTTGCAAATTTCCGGTAACTTTCCCCAAATTCCCTGGTTTGGAGGATTCCGGATTTCCTGCTTATTCCCTTATAATTCCATGAATCTTCAAACCAGGATTTCTGGAAAACCGGGGAATTTTGGGAAATTTACCGGAATTTTGCAACCCTATTTAGGAGGTTAGAATGGAGTATATGCATTAAAATCTCACTGTGCTTGAAGTCTCTCATGTATGCCATATGCAATTATTTCTCAAACGCTAAAAGAAGTGTATATTGATATTATCCTACTACATTAGAATAGATCTGTGTCGTACCATTCACAATCTCTGGTAGAAAAGAATTAGGAACATTTTCAGCCTCAGTTGAAAATGTCCAGGCTGATTAGCATAAAGAACTTGATAATTTACAAGAGGGTAGTGCAGCTGCACCACAAGCCTGCTCCATTCCAGAGTGGGGGGGGGGGGGGGCTCCATTAGCCAATGTTTGTTTGAAGTAATTAATCAAACGCTGCTGAGCTGAAATGCTGGATGTGTTGATTATGTATTAGTAGTGTGTGTGTGTGTGTGTGTGTGTGTGTGTGTGTGTTAGTGTTTGGGTGCCCTCTCTGGAGAGCAGGGTTAGCCAATGTTGATAAGCACATTTCCACTTTCCCCAGAGACGGATGGCAGTCATGAAAGGCTGTCAAAGAGGGACATTTAATTAAACTCCAGGACCTGGGCACTTTGGAGAGAGGGAGGCATACGTCCTTGTTTCTTTGATTTGAGTACAGAGGAAACTGAAACTGGGTGACAGGATTCATTTCCTGCCTAGTGTGTGTGATTTACATCCGTGCAGTAGGCTACCTGGGTGAAGAACGTGTGTGTGTGTGTGTGTGTGTGTGTGGTTGCGTGAGTACCAGGGTGGAGAAAGTGTGTAGTGAAGAACACAGCTGGAGTCCTTCCTCAGAAGCACCTGCAGGAGAGAGAGAGAGAGAGGTGGAGGAGGGTTGGTAGAGTGAGAGGTAGAGAGAGAGAGAGGGAGGTATAGAAGGTAGAGAGAGAGCAGAGGCGAGAGAGAGAGAGCTCGAGTAGAAGAGAGACGGTAGAGGAGAGGTAGAGAGAAAGAGAGTGAGAGGTACCCCTTCGTCTGCCGTCGCTGACGCTCTTCCGCTAAGACGCGCCGTTCCGATCGAGAGAGGGGTGTAGATGGTCTTAGGGAGCCTAGAGAGGTTTCGCTATCTGGTATAGCTTTCACTTTCCCTCCCTTCGAGAGCCCCGTGAGATCTCGCGAGGTGAGAGGTCGCGGGCGCGCCCCCCCCGTGCCTTTTGGCTCCCCCCCCCGGCCCTTTCCTTTTCCCGGCCCGGGTTCTCTCCCGCCCCGCCCCCTTTTTTTTTTGGCCTCCGGCCCCGCCGCCCGGGGCCCCCTTTGCGGCCCCGGTCGGCCTCCTCGCCGCGCCCCTGGTTTGGGGCGGGGCGGCCGGCCTCCTGCGTGGGCCCCCCGGGGGATCCCGGGCCTTTCCTTTCGTCCCGCGGGAGGAAAAAGGGGGAGGGAAAAAAAAGACCTCACTTTTCTTAATTTTTTCAAATTTTACCCCTTTTAAATTTTAATTTTTTTAAAATAGAAAAATTTTGGGGTATAAACCCAGGCCATTAAAAAATTGGAATTACATTTTGTTGTGAAAGGGTAGAGAAAAAAAAGGTTTTAAAGAAAAACTTAGGGGGCCCCGACAGTTTTGTTTTTCTCTACCTTCCTTCCTTTTTTTTTTCCACCTTGTTTTTCTTTTTAATTTAGGGTTAGTTAAAAAATTCCCAAGAGAGGTATAAGATAGAGAAAAGAGAAGAGAAGATAAAAACAAAAAAAAACAAAAGCCTTGCTATTGCTCACTTTAACTTGAGAACATTGAGAACCCTGGTCTGGCAAATCTATCAGCCAAGTCTTGTCAATTCCAATGGCTGTATCGGAAGTAGCTGGGATGACGTGAACAAGACCGGTACACTGTACTGTAAGGTTTTCAAATTCACATTTGAAAGGTGTATTTAAAATCAGCCAATCGGTAAGCAGCCAATTAGAATAATTGCAAGTTACATTTTGCTGTGTGAAAGGGTAGAGTTATATAAAGTATGGTTGCATCATGAAACTTGAGGGGACCTCGACAGTTTGTTCTCTACTCCGTTCCGTTTTCTACTATATTCTACTACTCTGTTCCATATTCTATTGTCTACTATTTTAGGATTAGTAGAATAATCCTAAAGGGTGATATGTAGAACACCAGCAGTATATGGTAGAACTAAAAACCCATGTTCCTTGTGTTGTGAATGTACAAGGATGAACCAAACAGAAGTAAAGAACCAATCTCTAAAAGACATGACATGTTGTAGTGAATGTGTCATAGAAAACAGCTGCCCTTTTCCACCTCAGTGAATTAGCAGAGGCCATTATTGCTCAGTGGGAGAGAGAGAGGGAGCTCTACAGTGGAAGGTTAGGCTGTATCTGTGTGTGTGGTGTGTGTGTGTGTGGCATTATGAAGGCCCTGCTGATTGAACGACAGGTGGCCTCATCAGCACTTCTTCTGTCTCTCTTCCTCTCTCTTTCCCCTTTTCTCCTACAGCGAGTGCAGATCATCATCACATCTCTCTCGCTTTCTCTCTCCGTCTCGGTCTACATTAAGTGCAGGGCCAGGGTACTCTGCTCCCCTACTCATCCTCTCCTTACCACAGACAAATGATTGTCTTGGGCCTTTTAATACTGTATTGATCCTCTCTTCTCCCAGGGACGTGGTTGTGTTTAATGGCACCTGGGACAGATTGAATTAAAGCCCTGTATGAAGTAGAGGGTGAAGTACAGGAGAGGGATGAGTGGAGTGGGGGACGGGGGACGGGTACAGTACTTTACCTCAGCCTGGTGTAAGAGATCCATGGTTGTCTTCAGAAGGCCCTCCCCCCTGCACAATCGATACAGGAAATGAACGAAAAACAGAACAGAGTGAATGAAATATTACCTGATGATAACAACTGATGAGGTATATTGACTATGAACATCATATCAACAAGATATGTGATGGCATCTGTGTTCTCTACTTCTAAATCCATATCAGAGGTGGTCAATACCTGGCTGGTGGTCAATACCTGGCTGGTTGTCAATACCTGGCTGATGCAAAGTATACTTGACATTTATACTTCAGGCTTGCTGAAGACATTAATAAAGATGCTTTTAATGTATGATTTTAATTATCTATATTTTTTCATTCTCCTTCCTCCTGTCTTTGTTAGTACTTTTATTTTATTATTTAATTTTTTACATTTACGTCATTTAGCAGACGCTCTTATCCAGAGTGAGTGCATACATTTATTTTTCATACTGGCCCCCCGTGGGAATCGAACCCACAACCCTGGCGTTGCAAACGCCACGCTCTACCAACTGAGCTACACGGAGCCCTTTTATGATGGTAAGCACTTTGTTACTTGCATTGAAAAGCGCAATACTGTATAAATGAAGTTATTCTTATTATTATTGAGTGACAGTCTAATGATGGCTAGATAAGCTACCTGGTGAAGACAGACAGAAGCTGGTGTCTACCTGGTGAATAGGTACATGGAGTAGGCCATGCTGGACATGCTCTGGCCCTGGCGGACGATGTCCTGCTCCTGGTCCTCCCACTTCTCCACCTCTGTGTCCACATCGGAGGTCAACAGACGCAGCTCTAGACCCAGCTTGGCTATGGTGCTCTGCTCCTGGAGAGGGAGAGAGGGAGAGAGAGAGAGAAAGAGAGCGAGAGAGAGAGAAAGAGAGAGAGCAAGAAAGAGAAAGAGAGAGAGAAAACAAAAAGATAATTACTTGACACATTGGAAAGAATTTACAAAAAAACAGAGCAAACTAGAATGCTATTTGTTCCTAAACAGAGAATACATAGTGGCAGAATACCTGACCACTGTGACTGACCAAAAATTAATAAAATATTTGACTATGTACAGACTCAGTGAGCATAGCCTTGCTATTGAGAGAGGCCGCCGTAGGCAGACCTGGCTCTCAAGAGAAGACAGGCTATGTGCACACTGCCCACAAAATGAGGTGGAAACTGAGCTGCACTTCCTAACCTCCTGCCAAATATATGACCATATTAGACACATATTTTCCTCAGATTACACAGACCCACAAAGAATTTGAAAACAAATCCAATTTTTATAAACTCCCATGTCTATTGGGTGAAATACCAGTGTGCAATCACAGCAGCAAGATTTGTGACCTGTTGCCACAAGAAAAGGGCAACCAGTGAAGAACAAACACCATTGTAAATACAACCTATATTTATGTTTATTTATTTTCCTTTTAGTACTTTAACTATTTGCACATCATTATAACACTGTACATAGACATAATGACACTTGAAATGTCTTTATTCTTTTGGAACTTTTGTGAGTGTAATGTTTACTGTACATTTTGTATTGTTTATTATATTTTCCACTTGCTTTGGCAATGTAAACATATGTTTCCCATACCAATAAAGCCCTTAGAGAGAGAGAGAGAGAGAGAGAGAGAGAGAGTGTTAATGATGGTCTCCCATTCAAGTAACACTACTAATCAAGCCCAAACCTTCTGAGATTCCACCATATTGGGTGGTTTCCGTAAGGGAAGGGCATGATGAGCAATAACTACATTGCTTTTTATCTACAGTGGCTTACCCCCTTGGAATTAAAATGGATTTTTGGGGGGGTTGTATTATTTGATTTACACAACATGCCTACCACTTTGAAGATGCAAAATACTCTTCCGTAAAGCCCAGCTCTGTGGAGTGTACGGCTTAAAGTGGTCCTATGGACAGATACTCCATTCTCCGTTGTGGAGCTTTGCAGTTCCCTCAGGGTTATCTTTGGTCTCGCTGTTGCCTCTCTGATTAATGCCCTCCTTGCCTGGTCCGTGAGTTTTGGTGGGCGGCCCTCTCTTGGCAGGTTTGTTGTGGTGCCATATTCCTTCCATTTTTTAATAATGGATTTAATGGTGCTCTGTCGGATGTTCAAAGTTTCTGATATCTTTTTATACCCAACCCTGATCTGTTTTCTCCACAACTTTGTCCCTGACCTGTTTGGAGAACTCTTTGGTCTTCATGGTGCCGCTTGCTTGGTGGTGCCCCTTGCTTAGCGGTGTTGCACTCTGGGGCCTTTCAGAACAGGTGTATATATACACTTAGATTGCACACAGGTGGAGTTTATTTAACTAATTATGTGACTTCTGAAGGTAACTGGTTGCACCAGATCTTATTTAGGGGCTTCATAGCAAAGGGGGTGAATACATATTCACGCACCACTTTTCCATTATTTATTTTGTAGAATGTTTTGAAACAAGTTATTTTTTTAATTCCACTTCACCAATTTGGACTATTTTGTGTATGTCCATTACCTGAAATCAATCAATTTAAATTACAGGTTGTAATGCAACAAAATAGGAAAAATGCCAAGGGGGATGAATACTTTTGCATTACTGATTCATGATCATTCATAACCATATACAGTGCCTTCAGAAATTATTCACACCCCTTGACTTTTCCCACATTTTATTGGGTTACAAGGTGAGATTAAAATTGATTGAATTGTATTTTTTTGTCAAAGATCTGCACAAAATACTCTAATGACAAAGTGGAAGAAAAATTCTAACATTTCTAAAAATAAATATGAAAAATAAAACACGAATATGTCTTGATTACATAAGTATTCTACCCCCTGAGACAATTAGAATCACCTTTGGCAATGATTACAGCTGTGAGTCTTTCTGAGTAAGTCTAAGAGCTTTGCACACCTGGATTGTACAATATTTGCACATTATTTTATTTTTTTATTCATCAAGCTCTGTCAAGTTGGTTGTTGATCATTGCTAGACAGCCATTTTCAAGTTTGCCATAGATGTTCAAGGTGATTTAAGTCAAACCTGTAACTAGGCCAATCAGGCACATTGAATGAGTTATGGCTTTTCAACCTCTGCCATATCATGGATTCAGAGCTATCTAATAGAACTCAAAAGGGTTTTCTTTAATGGAAGCTTCTCTAATGTCAAACATGTAAAGTGTGGTGTACCATAGGGCAGCTCTCTAGGTCCTCTACTCTTCTCTATTTTTACCAATGACCTGCCACTGGCATTAAACAAAGCATGTGTGTCCATGTATGCTGATGATTCAACCATACACGCATCAGCAACCACAGCTAATGAAGTTTTGGAATGAGTGGGTACTAATAAACTGGTCCTGAACATCTCTAAAACTAAGAGCATTGTATTTGTATTGTAAATGGTCCTCTGTAGCTCAATTGGTAGAGCACGGCGCTTGTAACGCCAGGGTAGTGGGTTCGATCCCCGGGACCACCCATACAAAAACATACGTAAAAATGTATGCACACGTGTTCTAGACCTCAGCTGAATCTGGTAATGAATGGTGTGGCTGTTGAACAAGTTGAGGAGACTAAATTACTTGGTGTTACCTTAGATTGTAAACTATCATGGTCAAAACATATACAGTGGGGGAAAAAAGTATTTAGTCAGCCACCCATTGTGCAAGTTCTCCCACTTAAAAAGATGAGAGAGGCCTGTAATTTTCATCATAGGTACACGTCAACTATGACAGACAAATTGAGATTATTTTTTTCCAGAAAATCACATTGTAGGATTTTTAATGAATTTATTTGCAAATTATGGTGGAAAATAAGTATTTGGTCACCTACAAACAAGCAAGATTTCTGGCTCTCACAGACCTGTAACTTCTTCTTTAAGAGGCTCCTCTGTCCTCCACTCGTTACCTGTATTAATGGCACCTGTTTGAACTTGTTATCAGTATAAAAGACACCTGTCCACAACCTCAAACAGTCACACTCCAAACTCCACTATGGCCAAGACCAAAGAGCTGTCAAAGGACACCAGAAACAAAATTGTAGACCTGCACCAGGCTGGGAAGACTGAATCTGCAATAGGTAAGCAGCTTGGTTTGAAGAAATCAACTGTGGGAGCAATTATTAGGAAATGGAAGACATACAAGACCACTGATAATCTCCCTCGATCTGGGGCTCCACGCAAGATCTCACCCTGTGGGGTCAAAATGATCACAAGAACGGTGAGCAAAAATCCCAGAACCACACGGGGGGACCTAGTGAATGACCTGCAGAGAGCTGGGACCAAAGTAACAAAGCCTACCATCAGTAACACACTATGCCGCCAGGGACTCAAATTCTGCAGTGCCAGACGTGTCCCCCTGCTTAAGCCAGTACATGTCCAGGCCCGTCTGAAGTTTGCTAGAGTGCATTTGGATGATCCAGAAGAGGATTGGGAGAATGTCATATGGTCAGATGAAACCAAAATAGAACTTTTTGGTAAAAACTCAACTCGTCGTGTTTGGAGGACAAAGAATGCTGAGTTGCATCCAAAGAACACCATACCTACTGTGAAGCATGGGGGTGGAAACATCATGCTTTGGGGCTGTTTTTCTGCAAAGGGACCAGGACGACTGATCCGTGTAAAGGAAAGAATGAATGGGGCCATGTATCGTGAGATTTTGAGTGAAAACCTCCTTCCATCAGCAAGGGCATTGAAGATGAAACGTGGCTGGGTCTTTCAGCATGACAATGATCCCAAACACACTGCCCGGGCAACGAAGGAGTGGCTTCGTAAGAAGCATTTCAAGGTCCTGGAGTGGCCTAGCCAGTCTCCAGATCTCAACCCCATAGAAAATCTTTGGAGGGAGTTGAAAGTCCGTGTTGCCCAGCGACAGCCCCAAAACATCACTGCTCTAGAGGAGATCTGCATGGAGGAATGGGCCAAAATACCAGCAACAGTGTGTGAAAACCTTGTGAAGACTTACAGAAAACGTTTGACCTGTGTCATTGCCAACAAAGGGCATATAACAAAGTATTGAGAAACTTTTGTTATTGACCAAATACTTATTTTCCACCATCATTTGCAAATAAATTCATTAAAAATCCTACAATGTGATTTTCTGGAGAAAAAAATTCTCATTTTGTCTGTCATAGTTGACGTGTACCTATGATGAAAATTACAGGCCTCTCTCATCTTTTTAAGTGGGAGAACTTGCACAATTGGTGGCTGACTAAATACTTTTTTTCCCCACTGTAGATTCAATGGTTGTAAAGATGGGAGAGGTCTGTCCGTAATAAAGATATGCTCTGCTTTTTTGACACCACACTCCAAAAAGCAAGTTCTGCAGGCTCTAGTTTTGTCTAATCTTGATTATTGTCCAGTCATGTGGTCCAGTGCTGCAAGGAAAGACCTAGTTAAGCTGCAGCTGGCCCAAAACAGAGCGGCACGTCTTGCTCTTCATTGTAATCAGAGGGCTGATATAAATACTATGCATGCCAGTCTATCTTGGCTAAGAGTTGAGGAGAGACTGACTGCATCACTTCATCTTTTTATAAGAAACATTAATGTGTTGAAAATCCCAAATTGTTTGCATAGTCAACTTACACACAGCTCTGACACACACACTTACCCCACCAGATATGCCACCATGGGTCTTTTCACAGTCCACAAATCCAGAACAAATTCAAGAAAGCATACAGTATTATATAGAGCCATTATTGCATGGAACTCCGTTCCATCTCATATTGCTCAAATAAACAGCAAACCTGGTTTAAAAAAACAGATAAAGCAACACCTCGCGGCACAACGCCTCTCCCCTATTTGACCTAGATAGTTTGTGTGTATGTATTGATATGTAGGCTACGTGTGCCTTTAAAAAATGTTTTATGTAGTTCTGTCCTTGAGCTGTTTTTGTCTATTAATGTTATGTATTATGTTTCGTGTGGACCCCAAGAAGAGTAGCTGCTGCTTTTGCAACAGCTAATGGGGATCCTAATAAAATACCAAATACCAAATTATGTCTTGGTAAGCAACTCCAGTGTATATTTGGCCTTGTGTTTTAGGATATTGTCCTGCTGAAGGTGAATTTGTCTCCCAGTGTCTGTTGGAAAGCAGACTGAATCAGGATTTCCTCTAGGATTTTGCCTGTGCTTAGCTCGATTCCGGTTTTTTTATCCTAAAAAACCCATCTTTCCAATAGGTGCCCTTCTTTGCGATGCATTGGAAAACCTCCCCGGTCTTTGTGTTTGAATCTGTGTTTGAAATTCACTGATCGACTGAGGGACTTTACAGATAATTGTATGTGTCGGGTAGAGTTAGTTATTCAAAAATCATGTTAAACATGACTTCAACATCATCATTAAGTTTGCTGACGACACAACAGTGGTAGGCCTGATCACCGACAACGATGACACAGCCTATAGGGAGGAGGTCAGAGACCTGGCAGTGTGGTGCCAGACAACAACCTCTCCTTCAATGTGAGCAAGACAAAGGAGATGATCGTGGACTACAGGAAAAGGAGGGCCGAACACGCCCCCATTAACATCGAAGGGGCTGTAGTGGGGCAGGTTGAGAGTTTCAAGTTCCTTGGTCTCCACATCACCAACAAACTATCATGGTCCAAACACACCAAGACAGTCGTGAAGAGGGCACGACAACACCTTTTCCCCTTCAGGAGACTGAAAAGATTTGGCATGGGTCCTCAGATCCTCAAAAAGTTATACAGCTGCACCATCAAGAGCATCCTGACCGGTTGCATCACCGCCTGGTATGGCAACTACTCGGCATCCGACCGTAAGGCGCTACAGAGGGTAGTGCGTACGGCCCAGTACATCACTGGGGCCAAGCTTCCTGCCATCCAGGACCTATATACTAGGAGGTGTCAGAGGAAGACCCAAAAAATGGTCAAAGACTCCAGTCACCCAAATCATAGACTGTTCTCTCTGCTATCGCACGGCAAGCGGTAACGGAGCGCCAAGTCTAGGTCCAAAAGGCTCCTTAACAGATTCCACCCCCAAACCAGAAGACTGCTGAACAATTGATCAAATGGCCACCCGGACTATTTACATTGACACCCCCCCCCCCCCCCCCCCCTTTGTTTTTACACTGCTGCTACTCACTATCACTTTACCTCTACCTACATGTACAAATTACCTCGACTAACCTGTACCCCCGCACATTGACTCGGTACCGGTACCCCCTCTATATAGCCTCGTTATTGTTATTTTATTGTGTTACTTTTTATTAAATGTTTTACTTTAGTTTATTTAGTAAATATTTTCTTAACTCTAATTCTTGAACTGCATTGATGGTTAAGGGCTTGTAAGTCAGCATTTCACTGTAAGGTCTACACCTGTTGTATTCAGGCGCATGTGACAAATACAATCTGATTCGATTTAGATTTGAGTGAGACTCCTGCTAAAATATATCAGACCATGCAAGGTCCCTGCAATAATCGCCATTATTCCCCAATAGTGTGTTTGAACAGACATTAATTTCCTGCAGAATAAATGCACCTGTCAGGATGAGGAAGTAGAGGTAGTAGATGCAGCCCAAATGGCACCCTATTCCATATATAGTGCAGTACTTTTGACCCAGGGCCATGTGGGGAGATTGGGTGCCAATTGGGGCACACCCTATGTGAGGTGTATTGTGTAATTGATGAGTTTAGTTATACCTCCGTATCTAGCTTAACAGCTTTCACCGTCTTCAGGTTGGCTGAATGTTTCTGGGGGGAGAAAAGGTTTGACAGGATGAGTGATATTAAAGGAGAAAGTGAGGGAAAGTCATTTAAACAGAATGACATAGGAAATATCCACCAATCATAGTATTGTTTATTCTGATACTCACCCCTGGTCTGGGAAGCGACAAGTAGGCTCTTTTATCACCTGTTATTAAATCAGAAATAAATAGTATTTTGAGGAAAAATATTTTTTCAAGTCACATTTTGGCCATTGGATCACAAGTAAGGGAAAATGAACAAGGGGCTGTGCGTTATATGGAAAATAATGAACGGCATGTAAGGCGTGTTCCACAAAGGAGTGGAACTGACCTTCCACAGAGTTGCATTATTTTCCAGAGAACGCATAGAGACTCGAGTTGATTATCCCTTTTACACCATGGCTATAATTTGAAATGTGTTAATTTGCTGGTAGAAATGTGTTCAACATCCCCTGAAGTGGCTAGCCAGTTTACTAGATACAGTTGAAGTCGGAGGTTTACATACACTTAGGTTGGAGTCATTAAAACTCGTTTTTCAACCACTCCACAAATGTCTTGTTAACAACCTATAGTTTTGGCAAGTCGGTAAGGACATCTACTTTGTGCATGACACAATAATTTTTCCAACAATTGTTTACAGACAGATTATTTCACTTATAATTCACTGTATCACAATTCCAGTGGGTCAGAAGTTTTTATACATTAAATTGACTGTGCCTTTAAACAGCTTGGAAAATTCCAGAAAATGATGTCATGGCTTGAGAAGCTTCTGATAGGCTAATTTACATCAATTGAGTCAATTGGAGGTGTACCTGTGAATGTATTTCAAGGCCTACCTTCAAACTCAGTGCCTCTTTGCTTGACATCATGGGAAAATCCAAAGAAATCAGCCAAGACCTCAGAAAAAAAATTGTAGACCTCCACAAGTCTGGCTCATCCTTGGGAGCAATTTCCAAACGCCTGAAGGTACCACGTTCATCTGTACAAACAATAGTACGCAAGTATAAACACCATGGGACCACGCAGCCGTCATACCGCTCAGGAAGGAGACGTGTTCTGTCTCCGAGAGATGAACGTACTTTGGTGCGAAAAGTGCAAATCAATCCCAGAACAACAGCAAAGGACCTTGTGAAGATGCTGGAGGAAACAGGTACATAAGTATCTATATCCACAGTAAAACGAGTCCTATATCGACATAACCTGAAAGGCCGCTCAGAAAGGAAGAAGCCACTGCTCCAAAACCGCCATAAAAAAGCCAGACTATGGTTTGCAACTGCACATGGGGACAAAGATCGTACTTTTTGGAGAAATGTCCTCCGGTCTGATGAAACAAAAATAGAATTGTTTGGCCATAATGACCATCGTTATGTTTGGAGGAAAAAGGGGGTTGCTTGCAAACCAAAGAACACCATCCCAACCGTGAAGCACTGGGGTGGCAGCATCATGCTGTGGGTGTGCTTTGCTGCAGGAGGGACTGGTGCACTTCACAAAATAGATGGCGGCATGACGAAGGAAAATTATGTGGATATATTGAAGCAACATCTCAAGACATCAGTCAGGAAGTTAAAGCTTGGTTGCAAATGGGTTTTCCAAATGAACAATGACCCCAATCATTCTTCCAAAGTTGTGGCAAAATGGCTTAAGGACAACAAAGTCAAGGTATTGGAGTGGCCAACACAAAGCCCTGACTTCAATCCTATAAAAAATATGTGGGCAGAACTGTAAAAGCGTGTGCGAGCAAGGAGGCCTACAAACCTGACTCAGTTACACCAGCTCTTTCAGGAGGAATGGGCCCAAAACATTTGACCCAAATTAAACAATTTAAAGGCAATGCTACCAAATACTAATTGAGTGTATGTAAACTTCTGACCCACTGGGAATGTGATGAAAGAAATAAAAGCTGAAATAAATCATTCTCTCTACTATTATTCTGACATTTCATATTCTTAAAATAAAGTGGTGATCCTAACTGACCTAAGACAGGGAATTCTTACTAGGATTAAATGTCAGGAATTGTGAAAAACTGAGTTTAATTGTATTTGGCTAAGGTGTATGTAAACTTCCGACTTCAACTGTAGCTACCGTAGTTGCCGTGGTAACCAAACAAACTTGCTGGTTTAGCTGACCAAACCATCAGTCCTAGCTTGCCATTATGAAAATCAAATTCAACAATGCCAATGTTTTCAGTTTGACTTTTGCTTTCAAAAGCAGCTCAAACATGTAAGAATTAACCATAGCCATTGAATTCTACCGTTCAAATATGCCGTGCATTATAAGGGAAATAATGCACGCTCTAGAATGCTCTTCAAGCCAATCAGAAACAAGTATTCAACAATGCCATCGTATAAGGTGAAATATTGGTCCGTTTGGTAAAATAATGATTGTATGCCTTTTAAATCCCCTACACTCCTTTTTTATACTGTATTTCAAATGGTTTTCAGCCATTCATTCAATTAAATGAAATAATACTAAAAGGGAGGGATTCAGTTTATTATCCCTAACACATCCTCTGTCACACTACAGTTGATTGTCCCCAACACATCCTAGGGCTAGGTGATATATCGAATTAAGTCGATTACTTCGAATTTATGTTTTTGCGCGATATTCCAAATGCCTGTATCGCAGAATCTAGGCTTTATGTCTGCTTGTTCTCATGTTGTCTTTTTGGTCTTGTCTCTTTCGCTCCTTCTGTGCTGTGCACCTTCCCATTTACACCAGAGATCTGTATATAATGACGAGATGCTCATGTCTCCGCCCTAACAATGGGAGTCGTTGTCCCAAAGGCGGGAAGGCAGACCACAAATTTAGGTTCAAATTAAGAGCATAGAAACAAATTGGGCTTATTTTGGACAGATTTTGGCAAGAGTGAAACCTCTCACATCGCCACTTTCTCCCAAGCCCCTCCCCCTACCACTCACAACAACAATAAAGATGAGAGATCACTTCTTCCGCTCTGACAAACAGTTTCAACTCGCTATTTGCATTTGAGGTTTGGTCCAACAGAATCGGTCATATGGACACAAACACATGGAGACATTATTTTACTGTAATAGAGGAAGTTAAAATTTACATTGACATTTTAGTCATTTAGCAGACACTCTTATACAGAGCGACTTACAGTTAGTGAGTGAGTGCATACATTTAACCTTTCGAACCATACCCTGTTTATGTTTAAACTGCTCAAATTTTGAGCAGAGCAGACACTACTAAAACGGATATACCAATGAACATTCATTCTGTAAAATGATTGCTCAATTTGTCACACACGCATTACGGTACCATGTATCGCTAGCAGCATTTTAGTCAAATAAAGATTGTTATACAAGCTGTTTAGTCTGTTTTATAAATGTGCAATAAGCATAAAACAATTATATAAGAAATTGGCAACTCGTTCTCATTCTGAGAAACAAGGTAGGCCACTTGATTTCAACATCTGAACAAAGTGGACAGGCTAGCATGCTGTTCAAACAGTTGGAGACGGACAGAAGGCTGTGTTCATAACAATTCAACTGTTTTGCCTTGTTAGCTGAATTCAGAGCTTGTGAAATTATACCTAGATCCAAGTTGGCTAAACTGGAAATATAAATATTAGCTGGCTACTCACTAGCACGTGGGCTTGTGCTTGAGAGATTGTTTGTTTATGAGACCGGTGTTAATTGTCTATAATGCCTGCTACATTTTTTGTGCATGTGCATTATGCATGGTTCTGGTTAAATTTGTAACAAAAAGGCAATTTTTATAGACAGACCTAAAAGCCAGATCAGTGATTATTGCAACAAAAAAAAGGTAAAAAACTTGTGCTGCCATCCTGTTAGAATGTAACAGATTATTTTATTATAGTGGTTAAGAGTGATTTTGATTGTGTTCCATGGCCCCCTAGTGGAGCTTTCTGGTACTTAGAAAGACTGCACAAAAACCGGAAGTAGAGTAGAGTAGTCATTCTGCACGCAGACAAAGCAGCTAAAAACAACGCTATGGTACAGTTCTTTCTGTGCAGCTATTTCTTGTCACGCTTCAGTGTCTGAAATTTTTGTTTGTAAGTTAAATTCAAGCATATTGCTAGTGATGATAATATTGCTTACTTATCAATGTTAGTTGGTTACATTTACTCACGCAAATTGCCTTGCCTTTCATGTATGCCATCAGCTGTATTAATTTGCTTGAGCGTCATGTAAGTGAATTGTAAAACATACTATGCTATAGTTTGTCACTGTTTCTAGTGTAATATGCTTTGTTATTGTACAGAGGTGTTTGCACGTTGTTAGAGTAATGAAAGGAGTTGGCTAGCCACTACTCATATGGTAATTATCTATCTGGTTTGGCGTCATGTCAGATACATGGTATTTTGGCACGTGCTTTATATTTATGCAACTTCAACTTGAAATGTATAATGAAAAGTATATTCATTTCTGTATTTTGAAGTTTCACAACATAAACGTTTTCAATACATTCGTTTAAGAAAAGTTAGGCCTTGGAAGTTTTATTGAAGACTCAGTTGTTAGCTATCTGTCTAGTTTTGCATGGGAATGCAATTCCAGGGCAGAATACAGCTTATTTAGAGAAAACATTTAAAAACCAAGATATACACTACCGGTCAAAAGTTTTAGAACACCTACGTATTCAAGGGTTTTTCTTTATTTTTACTATTTTGTACATTGTAGAATAATAGTGAAGACATCAAAACTATGAAATAACACATATGGAATCATGTAGTAGCCAAAAAAGTGTTACACAAATCAAAATATATTGTGCAAAGCTGTCATCAAGGTAAAGGGTGGCTATTTGAAGAATCTCAAATTTAAATATATTTTGTTTAACACTTTTTTGGTTACTACATGATTCCATATGTGTTATTTCATAGTTTTGATGTCTTCAATATTATTCTACAATGTAGAAAATAGTAAAAATAAAGAAAAACCCTTGAATGAGTAGGTGTTCTAAAACTTTTAACAGGTAGTGTATATATCATAAATCGCCCATAGATATGAGTTGTGAGTCGCTCTGGATAAGAGCGTCTGCTAAATGACTAAAATGTAAATGTAAATGTTAGGCCTTATCGCCCAGCCCTAACACATTCTCTCTCATAATACAGTATATTTTCCCCAACACGTTCTCTATCATACTACAGTTGATTATCCCCAACACATACTCTATCATACTTCAAATGGAGTGCAACCAATAAACATCACTGACCTGTTTAACGGCTGATGAGGCGCTGCAGTAAAAGGACCATTACTTCACATAAAAGTTTAACTGTCTACGTCGCTTCAGCACCGCACTCCTCCACGCACGCACACACATACACACTTACACAGGCATACAGAAACACTTCCACCAAGGAGGGAGATTTATCCTTATCACTTCTCTATTCAATGGTTTTAGCAGGGGGATGTCGTCTCTCTCGTTGCGTGTCATTCGGATCGTGGCCCATAAATACGAGCACCGTGACGCGCCACAGAGGTTACGGATTATAGGAATCACGCTGTGGAGTGGGAGAGCGCTGAGAAACAGCTGGTTTCACCCAATGTTGAGATACACACGCAAACACGCAAGCACACAGGCCTGTAACAGAACGGTTTGTGCCTTCGACTCGGTGAGAGGTATCGTGCTGATGGTGCTTTAATCGCTGCCTTGTGTCAGACAATACAAACAACCACAGTTATAGAGATTCAACTGTCTATGAATAGGATCAACACATTTCAGACTACCACAGCTCAGAGAGAGACGGAGGGTACAAACAACCACGGCTTGTAGTAAGACTAACTGCCCGTGAAAAGGATAGAGAGAAAGAGAATAGAGAGAGAGCGAGAGAGAGCGAGAGAAAGAGCGCGAGAGAGCGACAGCGAGAGAGAGTGAGAGAGAGTGAGAGAGCGCAATAGAGAGAGAGAGCAATAGAGAGAGAGCGAGAGAGAGCGAGCAGGAAGGTGGGGAGAAATCTGTGTGGTGATTAGTGATTACTGGTATTGATGTTATTTCAGTGTGGTGTCGATATAATAGTGGTGGGAGTCCATCAGATTTGACATAACTGAATGAATAACCCATTCCTTCACAGTCTTATTAACTTTTGCTATCAAAAACCCCATGCCAGGGGTTGGTTGTATGGCAACATCTGTCTGCGTGAGATCCAATCCTGGTCCCACAGTTCTTCAACACCCCCCCCCCCCCCCCCTCCTCCCACCAGGGGGACTGCCCCACCCCACCCATTCAACACCCCCCCTCTCCTCCCACCTGGAGGGACCGCCCCACTCCACCCCTCCAACAGCCCCCCTCTACTCCCACCAGGGGGACCACCCCACCCCACAGTCCCCCTGGTGGGGCGGTCCCACCCAATCTCTCCAACACCCCCCTCTCCTCCCAACAGGAGGCCCGCCCCACCCCCACCCCTCCAACACCCCCCACCCCCACCCCTCCAACACCCCCCTCTCCTCCCAACAGGAGGCCCGCCCCACCCCCACCCCTCCAACACCCCCCTCTCCTCCCAACAGGAGGCCCGCACCACCCCCACCCCTCCAACACCCCCCTCTCCTCCCAACAGGAGGTCCGCCCCACCCCCACCCCTCCAACACCCCCCTCTCCTCCCAACAGGAGGCCTGTCCCAACACACCCAATCCCTCCAACCAAGCGACAGCTCCTCTCACCACACCACCTACTCTCACTCCCCTCTCCTACGACCGGGAGGCCCACCTTGGCTGCCCATTACACACCCACACCCTCCTCCCTCTCCTACCACTGGCAGGCACACCTCGGCGGCCCTCGAACACGTCGTTGATCTCCCGGAGCAGCACACCCATGTCGCAGAGCTGCGACTCCCAGGCCTCACAGAACACATCCAGGTTCTCCTTGGCAATCTTACTGGATGGGTGCAGGGCCAGCGTCTGGGCTGCAGAGATGATCTGAGAGGATGGAGGGGAGAGAGAGAGGGAGGGAGGGAGGGGGAGAGAGAGGGAGGGAGAGATGGGGAAAGTAGCTATGTTTTAAATTAGTTTTGGAGTGGTGAAGTGCTTCGATAAGGTGCACAGGTCTTGTGCACTGCACACACCTTAAGTGGAGCTATTATGGTGTTATTCACACCAGTAGCTATCCAGACTAACCGGTGCCCCCGCACATTGACTCTGTACCGGTACCCCCTGTATATAGCCTCCCTACTGTTATTTTATTTTACTGCTGCTCTTTAATTACTTTATATTTTAATTTTTTACATATCTATTTTTTACTTCACATTTTTTCTGAAAACGGCATTGTTGGTTAAGGGCTTGTAAGTAAGCATTTCACTGTAAGGTCTACACCTGTTGTATTTGTCGCATGTGGCAAATAAAATTTGATTTGATTTGATTATGTGGGAAAACCAACAAAGGATCCAAGAAAATTATTAGAATGGAATCAGGCCTCAGTCTCATAGAATGTTTAACTACTCTATGAGAGAGCAGAGACACAGGATACCGGATCATTTCCTCTCAGTGTGGGGGCTGATTGGTTTCATTTCACACTATCTTCAGCGAGCAGAGCAGGGGGCATGGAATCCGTTTTGTCTCCCAGTTTTCTAATTATGTTTGGTCTTCCAGGCCGTTGGGACGGATGCTTCATTATCTGCTGCTGGGAGTGTCAGACCCTGCATGACCCAGCAGTAATGACTGAGCTCATAGGTTCAAAGGTCAACCAATCAATAAGGTCACAGAGGGGGAGCCTCTGCCCAGGGAGGTATAATACTGATGTGTGTGTGCGTGTGCATATCTTTCAATGGTAATAAAGAGACACCTGTGGGTAATTGCCAATTAAATGCAACACACTGGAGGTGATAAACTCTGACTTGTGTGCGTGTGGTTTTCGGAGTTATTTCTTCCTGTATCAGATGAAGTCATCTTAATGTCTGTTTCTGTAATAGTTGACTGTGCTTAATGGATGGGGGTGAAGCTCTAGGGGACCAAGATGGCAGAGGATGTGCTGACAAACTGAACCTTGATAATGGAGAAGTTATACAGCTTAACAACAACATCAGGGTGGAGTTTCTGGCACAACATGGATTGTATCAGACATGATCAATCCTCAGTGTGTGTGTGTGTCTGTTACCTGTGGGCCGATGATGTGGACGGTGTCTTCAGCATGTGTGTTTCCTGTCAGAGTGTGTTTCCTGTCAGAGTGTGTTTCCTGTCAGAGTGTGTGTTACCTATCAGTGTGTGTGTGTGTGTTAGCTGTCAGTGTGTGTTACCCGTCAGAGTGTGTTACCTGTGGGCCGGTGACGTGGAAGGTCTCCTCTGCGTGTATACAAGTGATCTCCAGAGGCTCTGTCCCAGAGACGTGACACAGCAGACGACACGTCTGGAACAGAACATACAACATCAGCATCTAACAACGATATGACTGGATATGAGCAGCACACAGATCAAGACATATTTTCCTGATATTTCAATTGGAAAATACATGCAGGCTTCCAAAGCCAGTAGCTCATATCACTAGTACCGTGTCCATACACCTCAGCCATAGAGATGTTGGACATTTTTTGATTTAATTGAATTGAATAAACAATTGTGGTTCAATAAAATTGTATAAATTAAATTCAAATCAACAATGGTGATTTGATCAGGGAGATTCAACAGACTTAAGTTAACCTCCCCAGCCCAGAAAGCCTCGCTAACCTCCACCAGCTGTTCCTTCTGCTCGCCGAGCGTGCGGGCGTACTCCGTCACGGCCTCCACGTTTCCCTCGCCCCCCGAGGCCTTCAGGGCCCGCAGAGGCAGGTGTTCCACGTGCAGCTTCAGCAGGTCTGCCGCACGCCCCACCGCCACCTTATGGAGCTGGACGGCGGGAGATAAATGTGTGTATACATGTAATGTAATGGTAATAGGAAGAGAAAACAATAGTAAGACAGGAAGAGAGGAGGAGACGGAAAGGGCAGGGTAGAGAGGGAGAGCGTAAGGGGTAAAGAGATTAGGTAAAGAGGGAGAGCGATAAGGCAATATTAAAGAGACAGAAGAGGAAGAGATATGGACAAACTGATGGAGCAGGGTTGGGTCAGTTACTTTCTAAATGTAATCTGTTACAGTTACTAGTTACATGTCCAAAATTGTCATCAGTAACGTAACTTTTGGATTACCCAAACTCAGTAACGTAATCTGTTTACTTTCAGTTACTTTCCCCTTAAGAGGCATTAGGTGTGTCATCATAGTGGTTTCTGACTTGTGGTCAGACTCGCTCAGGTGGGACAAACTTAAACTTGCTCTTTTTTTCAATGCTGAATTTAATGGCATTGAGAAAACAGAAAAGGTGTCATAATGTATTTTTACACGAACATCCTTTCTGAATTTAAAAGTAATCCAAAAAGTAATAGTTTTTTTGAAACGTATTTAATCTGATTACAATATTTTTGCTGGTAACATAACTGATTACAGTTACAGGTTTATGTAATCAGATTACATTTAATCAGTTACTCCCCAACCCAGATGGAGAGTACAGAAAACTCCAGACAAATCTGATCTAGGACTGAACCACTTGACATGCCAGACAGTGATGCATTCTGGGTAAGACCGCAGGGTTACAGGACTCACCTCTCTGCGGAGTTCGTGGACACTTTGGCAGGTCTTCAGAATGGACAGCTCCATCTCCTCCGTGGACTCTTTGGCATTGAGAGACAGCTGGGATGAGGGAAAGATTCAAAGAAAAATAAATAAGGGAGGGGAAAAAGATAAGAGTAGTCATCACATAAATCACATGATGACTGGTGCCTGGGAAGTGCCCTTTTTTAGCAGGTGATGGGAAGTGGCCTGTTTTAGCAGGAGATGGGAAGTGGCCTGTCTTAGCAGGAGATGGGAAGTGGCCTGTCTTAGCAGGAGATGGGAAGTGGCCTGTCTTAGCAGGAGATGGGAAGTGGCCTGTCTTAGCAGGAGATGGGAAGTGGCCTGTCTTAGCAGGAGATGGGAAGTGGCCTGTCTTAGCAGGAGATGGGAAGTGGCCTGTCTTAGCAGGAGATGGGAAGTGGCCTGTCTTAGCAGGAGATGGGAAGTGGCCTGTCTTAGCAGGAGATGGGAAGTGGCCTGTCTTAGCAGGAGATGGGAAGTGGCCTTTCTTAGCAGGAGATGGGAAGTGGCCTGTCTTAGCAGGAGATGGGAAGTGGCCTGTCTTAGCAGAGATGGGAAGTGGCCTGTCTTAGCAGAAGATGAGAAGTGGCCTGTCTTAGCAGGAGAAGGGAAGTGGCCTGTCTTAGCAGGAGATGGGAAGTGGCCTGTCTTAGCAGGAGATGGGAAGTGGCCTGTCTTAGCAGGAGATGGGAAGTGGCCTGTCTTAGCAGGAGATGGGAAGTGGCCTGTCTTAGCAGGAGATGGGAAGTGGCCTGTCTTAGCAGGAGAAGGGAAGTGGCCTGTCTTAGCAGGAGATGGGAAGTGGCCTGTCTTAGCAGGAGATGGGAAGTGGCCTGTCTTAGCAGGAGATGGGAAGTGGCCTGTCTTAGCAGGAGAAGGGAAGTGGCCTGTCTTAGCAGGAGAAGGGAAGTGGCCTTTCTTAGCAGGAGATGGGTAGTGGCCTGTCTTAGCAGGAGAAGGGAAGTGGCCTGTTTTAGCAGGAGAAGGGAAGTGGCCTGTCTTAGCAGGAGATGGGAAGTGGCCTGTCTTAGCAGGAGATGAGAAGTGGCCTGTCTTAGCAGGAGAAGGGAAGTGGCCTGTTTTAGCAGGAGATGGGAAGTGGCCTGTCTTAGCAGGAGATGGGAAGTGGCCTGTTTTAGCAGGAGATGGGAAGTGGCCTGTCTTAGCAGGAGATGGGAAGTGGCCTGTCTTAGCAGGAGATGGGAAGTGGCCTGTCTTAGCAGGAGAAGGGAAGTGGCCTGTTTTAGCAGGAGAAGGGAAGTGGCCTGTCTTAGCAGGAGATGGGAAGTGGCCTGTCTTAGCAGGAGATGAGAAGTGGCCTGTCTTAGCAGGAGATGGGAAGTGGCCTGTCTTAGCAGGAGAAGGGAAGTGGCCTGTCTTAGCAGGAGAAGGGAAGTGGCCTTTCTTAGCAGGAGATGGGAAGTGGCCTGTCTTAGCAGGAGAAGGGAAGTGGCCTGTTTTAGCAGGAGAAGGGAAGTGGCCTGTCTTAGCAGGAGATGAGAAGTGGCCTGTCTTAGCAGGAGAAGGGAAGTAAGCCTGTTTTAGCAGGAGATGGGAAGTGGCCTGTCTTAGCAGGAGATGGGAAGTGGCCTGTTTTAGCAGGAGATGGGAAGTGGCCTGTCTTAGCAGGAGAAGGGAAGTGGCCTTTCTTAGCAGGAGATGGGAAGTGGCCTGTCTTAGCAGGAGATGGGAAGTGGCCTGTTTTAGCAGGAGATGGGAAGTGGCCTGTCTTAGCAGGAGATGGGAAGTGGCCTGTCTTAGCAGGAGATGAGAAGTGGCCTGTCTTAGCAGGAGAAGGGAAGTGGCCTTTCTTAGCAGGAGAAGATTATGAGAATACACAGCCCTGCTCAGGCCCTGTCAGAGAGAGAGGGAGAGCGAGAAAGAGAGACAGAGAGAGAGAGAGACAGAAGGAGAGAAAGAGAGAGCGAAAAAGGCAGAGAGAGTGAGAGGAAGAGAAAGAGTGTGTGAGTGAGTCAGTGAGTTAAAGAGAGATCCCTTCTGCCACACCAATATTCTGTAAAACATAAGAGTTTCAGACACACGTTATAAGGGCAAGGAGACAGGTGGGAGGCACTGTGCTCAGACAGGATTACAGCAAGGTGTCAAAACAATGTCAAAAAACTTTCAAACAAGCAGAATTCACCAGGGGCCCAGTTTTTCAAATGTGATCTATCCGGATTTTGGCTATCGGATAGGATTAAATGCAAAGAAATATAATGAATTGAATGGATGAATCATTGACTTGAATGGGGACTCCCATTCTATTTCTATGCATTTAATCCTATCCGATAGCTGAAATCCGCATAGAAAAACTGGGCCCTGATGATTTGTCTTTTACCCTCTCATCACCTACTCTGTTTCTACTGAAGAAAAAAAAATCCAGAAAATCACATTGTAGGATTTTTCATGAATTTATTTGCAAATTATGGTGGAAAATAAGTATTTGGTCACATACAAACAAGCAAGATTTCTGGCTCTCACAGACCTGTAACTTCTTCTTTAAGAGGCTCCTCTGTCCTCCACTCGTTACCTGTATTAATGGCACCTGTTTGAACTTGTTATCAGTATAAAATACACCTGTCCACAACCTCAAACAGTCACACTCCAAACTCCACTATGGCCAAGACCAAAGAGCTGTCAAAGGACACCAGAAACAAAATTGTAGACCTGCACCAGGCTGGGAAGAGTGAATCTGCAATAGGTAAGCAGCTTGGTTTGAAGAAATCAACTGTGGGAGCAATTATTAGGAAATGGAAGACATACAACACCACTGATAATCTCCCTTGATCTGGGGCTCCACGCAAGATCTCACCCCGTGGGGTCAAAATGATCACAAGAACGGTGAGCAAAAATCCCAGAACCACACGGGGGGACCTAGTGAATGACCTGCAGAGAGCTGGGACCAAAGTAACAAAGCCTACCATCAGTAACACACTACGCCGCCAGGGACTCAAATCCTGCAGTGCCAGACGTGTCCCCCTGCTTAAGCCAGTACATGTCCAGGCCCGTCTGAAGTTTGCTAGAATGCATTTGGATGATCCAGAAGAGGATTGGGAGAATGTCATATGGTCAGATGAAACCAAAATATAACTTTTTGGTAAAAACTCAACTCGTCGTGTTTGGAGGACAAAGAATGCTGAGTTGCATCCAAAGAACACCATACCTACTGTGAAGCATGGGGGTGGAAACATCATGCTTTGGGGCTGTTTTTCTGCAAAGGGACCAGGACGACTGATCCGTGTAAAGGAAAGAATGAATGGGGCCATGTATCATGAGATTTTGAGTGAAAACCTCCTTCCATCAGCAAGGGCATTGAAGATGAAACGTGGCTGGGTCTTTCAGCATGACAATGATCCCAAACACACCGCCCGGGCAATGAAGGAGTGGCTTCGTAAGAAGCATTTCAAGGTCCTGGAGTGGCCTAGCCAGTCTCCAGATCTCAACCCCATAGAAAATCTTTGGAGGGAGTTGAAAGTCCGTGTTGCCCAGCGACAGCCCCAAAACATCACTGCTCTAGAGGAGATCTGCATGGAGGAATGGGCCAAAATACCAGCAACAGTGTGTGAAAACCTTGTGAAGACTTACAGAAAACGTTTGACCTGTGTCATTGCCAACAAAGGGTATATAACAAAGTATTGAGAAACTTTTGTTATTGACCAAATACTTATTTTCCACCATAATTTGCAAATAAATTCATAAAAAATCCTACAATGTGATTTTCTGGAAATTTTTCTCATTTTGTCTGTCATAGTTGACGTGTACCTATGATGAAAATTACAGGCCTCTCTCATCTTTTTAAGTGGGAGAACTTGCACAATTGGTGGCTGACTAAATACTTTTCCCCCCCACTGTAAATGGAGAAAAACACCTAATCTCACCCTCTCTGTTTCTGCTGAAATAAGTGGAGAAAAACACCTAATCTCACACTCTCGGTTTCTACTGAAATAAGTGGAGAAAAACACCTAATCTCACCCATTCTATTTCTACTGAAATAAGTAGAGAAAAACACCTAATCTCACCCTCTCTATTTCTACTGAAATGAGTAGAGAAAAACACCTAATCTCACCCTCTCTGTTTCTACTGAAATAAGTGGAGAAAAACACCTAATCTCACCCTCTCTATTTCTACTGAAATAAGTGGAGAAAAACCCCTAACCCCACCCTCTTTTTCTACTGAAATAAGTGGAGAAAACCAAAAAAAATTCATTACATTTTTGTCATTTAGCAACGCTCTATCAGCTCACTTCCGCCTGATCCCATGGCACCCATCTACATCATCGACCCTCCTGGGCAATTGGCGCCGCCCATGGGTTCCCGTCTGCCGTACGGAACTGGACCACTACCACCCTCTGTTCATTGAAATAATGAGAAAAACACCTAACCTCACTCTGTTCTATTGAAAGTGGAGAATACCCTACTCCCCTCGTTTCTACTGAAATAAGTGGAGAAAACACCTAATCTCACCCTCTGTTTCTACGAATAAGGTGAGAAAACACTAACTACCTCTCTGTTTCTACTGAAATAAGAAGAGAAAAACACCTAATCTCACCCTCTCGGTTTCTACTGAAATAAGTGGAGAAAAACACCTAATCTCACCCTCTCTATTTCTACTGAAATGAGTAGAGAAAAACACCTAATCTCACCCTCTCTGTTTCTACTGAAATAAGTGGAGAAAAACACCTAATCTCACCCTCTCTATTTCTACTGAAATAAGTAGAGAAAAACACCTAACCTCACCCTCTGTTTCTACTTAAATAAGTGGAGAAAAACACCTAACCTCACCCTCTGTTTCTACTGAAATAAGTAGAGAAAAACACCTAATCTTACCCTCTCTATTTCTACTGAAATGAGTAGAGAAAAACACAATCTCACCCTCTCTATTTCTACTGAAATAAGTGGAGAAAAACACAATCTCACCCTCTCTATTTCTACTGAAATAAGTGGAGAAAAACACCTAATCTCACCCTCTCTGTTTCTACTGAAATAAGTAGAGAAAAACACCTAATCTCACCCTCTCGGTTTCTACTGAAATAAGTGGAGAAAAACACCTAACCTCACCCTCTGTTTTTACTGAAATGAGTGGAGAAAAACACCTAACCCCACCCTCTTTTTCTACTGAAATAAGTGGAGAAAACCAAAAAAAAATTCATTTACATTTTTGTCATTTAGCAGACGCTCTTATCCAGAGCGACTTACATTATCTTTTTATTTTTCATACTGGCCCCCCGTGGGAATCGAACCCACAACCCTGGCGTTGCAAACGCCATGCTCTACATCACTGCCGGCCATTCCCTCCCCTACCCTGGACGACTCTGGGCCAATTGTGCGCCGCCCCATGGGTCTCCCGGTCGTTGCCGGCTACGACAGAGCCTGGACCACCTAACCTCACCCTCTGTTTCTACTGAAATAAGTGGAGAAAAACACCTAATCTCACCCTCTGTTTCTACTGAAATAAGTGGAGAAAAACACCTAACCTCACCCTCTGTTTCTACTGAAATAAGTGGAGAAAAACACCTAACCTCACCCTCTGTTTCTACTGAAATGAGTTGAGAAAAACACCTAATCTCACCCTCTCTATTTCTACTGAAATAAGTGGAGAAAAACACCTAACCCCATCCTCTGATTCTACTGAACTAAGTGGAGAAAAACACCTAACCTCACCCTCTGTTTCTACTGAAATAAGTGGAGAAAAACACCTAACCTCACCCTCTGTTTCTACTGAAATAAGTGGAGAAAAACACCTAACCTCACCCTCTGTTTCTACTGAAATAAGTGGAGAAAAACACCTAATCTCACCCTCTGTTTCTACTGAAATAAGTGGAGAAAAACACCTAACCTCACCCTCTGTTTCTACTGAAATAAGTGGAGAAAAACACCTAACCTCACCCTCTGTTTCTACTGAAATAAGTGGAGAAAAACACCTAATCTCACCCTCTCGGTTTCTACTGAAATAAGTGGAGAAAAACACCTAACCTCACCCTCTGTTTCTACTGAAATAAGTGGAGAAAAACACCCAACCTCACCCTCTCTATTACTACTGAAAGAAGTAGAGAAAAACGAACAGACCCTGGGATCTAGCTAGTCACACACACTGTAGAAATGGGTCTCGCTAGGGAGCCAACCATTCAACGTGCTGTAGCTCTGATTCCATTCAATCTGTCCATGGAACTGTGGCCTCTACTTTCACACATTTATACAAGCTTAACGATGGAAAAACACATTATATGAAACCCACACGCTATGGAGTCCAAGGAGACTCCTTTCATCGAGGTGTCCAGAGAGACGGGGAGAACAATGTGTTCTATGTCATCAATGGAGTCAAGTGAATGGCCATTCATACAACGAGGCTGACTTCAGGGCCCGTATCCACAAAGCATCTCAGAGCAGGAGTCCTGATCTAGGATCTGTCCATATAATCTTATTCATTATGATTTAAAAGGCAAAACCGATCCTAGATCAGCACTCCTACTCTGAGATGCTATGACGGGCCCAGGACTGGTTTAAGACCTATAAAGAATGAAGGGAAATAGCACCGTATAGCAGTATGGGAGAGGGTAGTGTGAAAAGGCTGGATATTCAATACTTCACCTTCACATTATCTATAAACCTAGCAACAGTACACAAGGTAATGTAGCTAGCAACAGAAAGGAAGAGAAGGAGTGTGTGTATCTGTGGGCATCTACATGTGTGAGTGCAATGTACATATTCATACGTGCTAAATCATTACATACTGTACCTGTGCTCTTAATCAGGTAGACGTATGAGTACATATCTACATGAGTAAATTTCGACATACAGTGGTGTGAAAAAGTGTTTTCCCCCTTCCTGATTTGTTATTTGTTTGCATGTTTGTAACACTTAAATGTTTCAGATCATCAAACAAATTTAAATATTAGTCAAAGATAACACAAGTAAACACAAAATGCAGTTTTGAAATGGTTGTTATTATTAAGGGAAAACAAAATCCAAACCTACATGGCCCTGTGTGAAAAAGTGTTTGCCCCCCCCCCTGTTATAACACAACTCAACTGTGGTTTATCACACCTGAGTTCAATTCCTCTAGCCACACCCAGGCCTGATTACTGCCACACCTGTTCTCAATCAAGGAATCACTTAAATAGGACCTGCCTGACAAAGTGAAGTAGACCAAAAGATCATAAAAAGCTAGACATCATGCCGAGATCCAAAGAAATTCAGGAACAAATGAGAAAGAAACTAATTGAGATCCATCAGTCTGGAAAAGGTTATAAAGCCATTTCTAAAGCTTTGGGACTCCAGCGAACCACAGTGAAAGCCATTATCCACAAATGGCGAAAACATGGAACAGTGGTGAACCTTCCCAGGAGTGGCCGGCCGACCAAAATTACCCCAAGAGCGCAGCGACGACTCATCCAAGAGGTCACAAAAGACCCCACAACAACATCCAAAGAGCTGCAGGCCTCACTTGCCTCAGTTAAGGTCAGTGTTCATGACTCATAAGTGTTCATAAGAAAGAGACTGGGCAAAAATGGCCTGCATGGCAGAGTTCCAAGACGAAAACCACTGCTGAGCAAAAAGAACATTAAGGCTAGTCTAATTTTTGCCAGACAACATCTTGATGATCCCCAAGACCTTTGGGATAATACTCTGTGGACTGACGAGACAAATGTTGAACTTTTTGGAAGGTGTGTGTCCCATTACATCTGGCGTAAAAGTAACACCGCATTTCAGAAAAGAACATCATACCAACAGTAAAATATGGTGGTAGTAGTGTGATGGTCTGGGCCTGTTTTGCTGCTTCAGGACCTGGAAGACTTGCTGTGATTCTGCTGTCTACCAAAAAATCCTGAAGGAGAATGCCCGGCCATCCATTCGTGACCTTAAGCTGAAGCGAACTTGGGTTCTGCAGCAGGACAATGATCCAAAACACACCAGCAAGTCCACCTCTGGATGGCTGAAGAAAAACAAAATGAAGACTTTGGAGTGGCCTAGTCAAAGTCCTTACCTGAATCCTATTGAGATGCTGTGGCATGACCTTAAAAAGGCAGTTCATGCTCAAAAACCCTCCAATGTGGCTGAATTACAACAATTCTGCAAAGATGAGTGGGCCAAAATTCCACCACAGCGCTGTAAAAGACTCATTGCAAGTTATCGCAAACGCTTGATTGCAGTTGTTGCTGCTAAGGGTGGCCCAACCAGTTATTAGGTTGTAGGGGGCAATCACTTTTTCACACAGGGCCATGTGGGTTTGGATTTTGTTTTCCCTTAAACAACCTTCATTTCAAAACTGCATTTTGTGTTTACTTGTGTTATCTTTGACTAATATTTAAATTTGTTTGATGATCTGAAACATTTAAGTGTGACAAACATGCAAACAAATAAGAAATCAGGAAGGGGGCAAACACTTTTTCACACCACTGTATGTATACACGCGAGTGTGTCTATGCGTGTGTGTACGCATGTACAAATATTTACATGTGTGTGTATGCCCAGTTTCTGCCCACATACCGCCTCCATCCAGGCTGCGATGAGCTGGTCAGTGTCCTGGCGGGCGAGCTGGCAGAGCTGCAGGATGCCCTCTCGGTGCTCGTGGCTGGTGTAGGCCGAGTCAGTGAAGTCCTCCGTCCTCTCCACCACTGCCTCCAGCTGGCCAGACAGAGCCTGGTGGGGCAGCGAGTACAGACCCTCACGCAGACCTTCCACACTGGACTGGGATCACAGACAGAGACACAATAATGAATACAACACTTCTTTGTCGTGACAATAAAGCATTTCCATTTAATTGACACAGGCAGTGAGAGAATATCATTTGAAAGCTCTATGACCTCTGTTGCAGTCTATTATCTAGTTCAAAAACAAGCTACTGGTTTTTCAGGTTGACTAGGGATAGTTTACTTATTCTAAACACCTTGCGTGCTTCATGTTTGTATGTCCAGGTCTAATCTCTTGTGGACAGACTACGTAAACATAAATGGTACCCAAATTACGCAAGGTAGTCCAGGCCTAAACCGTCACAATGTAGTTACATAGTTGAGCACAGTGTAATAACACATTGTTGTATTGTACTTATAACTATATTACAATGCAAAGTGGAGGAAAAAACAACAACATATGGAATCCATAAGGAAGTCCTCCCCTGTAGTCCCACCTTGAAGTCCTTGATGCCGGTGTGAATGCTGAGGGGTAGGACCTTGGTCTCCCCGCAGGGCTGGGCGTCCGTCACGATCTCGATGACCTGCTCCAGGGCGAAACGCATGCGGTGAAACACGGCGTCTTTGTTGATACGCGCCGACTCGCAGTCCGGGTGTCTGAGACACGTCTACAGTGAGAGACACACATGGTTTTACAACTGAGGCTGCATTTACACAGGCAGCCCAATTCAGATATTTTTTTCACTAATTGGTCTTTTCACCAATCATATCAGCTCTTTTGCTAATCATTGGGAACATTTTAAGAATTGGTCTGCTTGTGTGGCATTGAAGAAGAAACAGTCCATGTTTGGAATCAACTGTAGTAATACAGTCTCTATACCTCATATACATTAAACACAAACACTATGTTTTAAGTGAGAAGTTAGGCTGGATTGAAGCCGAAAAAAATAATGGAAATTCACATGAGCATCACAAGGCCTAATTTCACCCATTCAGTATCAAGTGTTTCCAGTACACAGGTTTAACCTACTACATTAGCAGTAGTGGTAGGATGCACCTACCTTGGATGCAGTGAGCAGCATCATGGTGCATTTCTCCAGCACTGCTCTGGCTGCTGCCATCCTGGCCTTCTTATTCTCCTCCTTCAGGTCCTAATGGACAGAGACCAACACTGGACAGTTAGAGAAGTAGTCTCCTCCTTCAGGTCCTAATGGACAGAGACCAACACTGGACAGTTAGAGAAGTAGTCTCCTCCTTCAGGTCCTAAAGGACAGAGACCAACACTGGACAGTTAGAGAAGTAGTCTCCTCCTTCAGGTCCTACTGGACAGAGACCAACACTGGACAGTTAGAGAAGTAGTCTCCTCCTTCAGGTCCTAATGGACAGAGACCAACACTGGACAGTTAGAGAAGTAGTCTCCTCCTTCAGGTCCTAAAGGACAGAGACCAACACTGGACAGTTAGAGAAGTAGTCTCCTCCTTCAGGTCCTAATGGACAGATAACAACACTGGACAGTTAGATAAGTAGTCTCCTCCTTCGGGTCCTAAAGGACAGAGACCAACACTGGACAGTTAGAGAAGTAGTCTCCTCCTTCAGGTCCTAATGGACAGAGACCAACACTGGACAGTTAGAGAAGTAGCTGGTTCCCAAACTTCTCTGATTTGTGATTGTGGGCCAGTTAAAAGCCTTTTGAATGATCTTGTGAGCCACCAAATAGAGAGAACCATTTTTCAAGCCACAACTCAGTCTTGCCAAGAATAACTGGCTTGACCTACCAGGGGTCTGGACCAGAGCCATGTATTAAGAATAAAATAAATACATGGCTCTGGTCTGGACCAGTGGACCAATTACTTCAAGGGGTAAGTTGTTCAAAAAAGCAACCCCCACACTTTAAACACACACAGAGCATATCTGTACGATGTGAAAGAACCGTCTCAAGCTAAGTTTAGTTAAGGCTTAGTTCACCGACCATCAGAGATCTCAAGCTAAGTTTAGGTAAGGCATAGTTTTCCAGCCATCAGAGTTATTAGGGCTCCCGAGTGGCGCAATGGTCTAAGGCACTGCATCTCAGTGCTTGAGGCGTCACTACAGACCCCTGGTTCGATTCCAGGCTGTATCACAACCGGCCGTGATTGGGAGTCCCATAGGGAGGCGCACAATTGGCCCAGCGTCGTCCGGGTTTGGCCAGTGTAGGCCGTCATTGTAAATAAGAATTTGTTCTTAACTGACTTGCCTAGTTAAATAAAGGAAAAATAAAAATACATTACTCATAGATTAACCTGGTGAAGTAGATAGCTCAGTAACATCCACTGACTCTCTCCTTATCTCCGTGTTTCAAAGACTAAGCAGCCTCCAGTAAGGATTTAGTGTGTGTTTCAGGGGGATCGTCGATGCGAAGGAGATGTGTCGCGCTGCATGAGGCAAATGGTGGTCACACAAGACACTGACTGGTTTTCTGATTCATGCCGCTACCTTTTGTACATGTATCTGTGACCAACAGATGCATATCTGTATTCCCAGTCACGTGAAATCCGTAGATTAGGGCGTAAGGAATTTACTTGAATTGACTGATTTCCTTATATGGACCGTAACTCAGTAGAATCTGCTTGGTGACCTAAACTGGGATATGCTTAACACCCCGGCTGTCCTACAATCTAAACTAGATGCCCTCAATCTCACACAAATTATCAAGAAACCTACCAGGTACAACCCTAAATCCGTAAAAATGGGCACCCTCATAGATATCATCCTGACTAATTTACCCTCTAAATACACCTCCGCTGTCTTCAACCAGGATCTCAGCGATCACTGCCTCATTGCCTGCGTCCGTAATGGGTCCGCGGTCAAACGAACCCCCCTAATCACTGTCAAACGCTCCCTAAAACACTTTAGCAAGCAGGTCTTTCTAATTGACCTGGCCCGGGTATCCTGGATGGATATTGACCTCATTCCGTCAGTAGAGGATGCCTTGTTGTCCTTTAAAAGTGCTTTCCTCTCCATCTTAAATAAGCATGCCCCATTCAAAAAATTCTGAAATAAGAACAGATATAGCCCCTGGTTCACCCCAGACTTGACTGCCCTTGACCAGCACAAAAACATCCTGTGGCATACTGCATTAGCATCGAACAGCCCCCGCGATAGGCAAGTTTTCAGGGAAGTCAGGAACCAATATACAAAATCAGTTAGGAAAGCAAAGGCTAGCATTTTCAAACAGAAATGTGCATCCTGTAACACTAACTCCAAAAGGTTTTGGGACACTGTAAAGTCCATGGAGAATAAGAGCACCTCCTCCCAGCTGCCCACTGCACTGAGGCTAGGAAACACTGTCACCCCCCCCCCCCCCCCCCCCCCCCCCCCCCCCCGGGCTAGTCAATCTGGACCCTTTCTTTCTAAAATTAGCCGCCGAATATGTCGCAACCCCCATTACTAGCCTGTTCAATCTCTCTTTCGTATCGTCTGAGATCCCCAGAGATTGGAAAGCTGCCACGGTCATCCCCCTCTTCAAAGGGGGAGACACTCTAGATTCAAACTGTTACAGACCTATATCCATCCTGCCCTGCCTTTCGAAAGTATTTGAAAGCCAAGTTAACAAACAGATCACCGACCATTTCGAATCCCACCGTACCTTCTCCGCTATGCTTTCGACTCTGTCAATCACCGCATTCTTATTGGCAGACTAAATAGCCTTGGTTTCTCAAATGACTGCCTCGCCTGGTTCACCAACTACTTCTCAGATAGAGTTAAATGTGTCAAATCGGAGGGCCTGTTGTCTGGACCTCTGGCAGTCTCTATGGGGGTGCCACAGGGTTCAATTATCAGGCCGACTCTATTCTCTGTGTATATCAATGATGTCGCTCTTGCTGCTGGTGACTCTCAGATCCACCTCTATGCAGACGACACCATTTTGTATACATCTGGCCCTTCATTGGACACTGTGTTAACAAACCTCCAAACGAGCTTCAATGCCATACAACACTCCTTCCGTGGCCTCCAACTGCTCTTAAACGCTAGTAAAACTAAATACATGCTCTTCAATTGAACGCTGCTTGCACCCGCCCGCCCGACTAGAATCCCTACTCTCGGCAGGTCTGACATAGAATATGTGGACAACTACAAATACCTAGGTGTCTGGTTAGGCCATAAACTATCCTTACAGACTCACATTAAGCATCTCCAATCCAAAGTTAAATCTAGAATCAGCTTCCTATTTTGCAACAAAGCCTCCTTCACTCATGCTGCCAAACATGCCCTCGTAAAACTGACTATCCTACCGATCCTTGACTTTGGCGATGTCATTTACAAAATAGCCTCCAACACCCTACTCAGCAAATTGGATGTAGTCTATAACAGTGCTATCCGTTTTGTCAGCAAAGCCCCATATACTACCCACCACTGTGACCTGTACGCTCTCGTTGGCTGGCCCTCACTACATATTCGTCGCCAAACCCACTGGCTCCAGGTCATCTATAAATCACTGTTAGGCAAATCCCCGCCTTATCTTAGCTCATTGGTCACCATAGCAACAAACACCCGTAGTATGCGGTCCAGCAGGTATATCTCACTGGTCATCCCCAAAGCCAACACCTCCTTTGGCCACCATTCCTTCCAGTTTTCTGCTGCCAATGACTGGAACGAACTGCAAAACTCTCTGAAGCTGGAGACTCTTATCTCCCTCACTAACTTTAAGCATCAGTTGTCAGAGCAGCTTACCGATCACTGCACCTGTACACAGCCCATCTGTAATTAGCCCACCCAACTACCTCATCCCCATATTGTTATTTATTTTGCTCATTTGCACCCCAGTATCTCTATTTGCACATCATCTTCTGCACATCTATCACTCCAGTGTTAATACTAAATTGTAATTATTTTGCACTGTCCTATTTATTGCCTTACCTCCATAACTTACTACATTTGCACACACTGTATATAGATGTTCTATTGTGTTATTGACTGTACGTTTTGTTTATCCCATATGTAACTCTGTGTTGTTGTTGTTTTTAATCGCACTGCTTTGCTTTATCTTGGCCAGGTCGCAGTTGTAAATGAGAACTTGTTCTCAACTGGCTTACCTGGTTAAATAAAGGTGAAATAAAAAAATTATTAAAAAAATCCCCTGCTCTTCACTTGGTCAGTCTCAGTAGATTTCCAGACAGAGAGATGATGTTAAACAAAAAGAGGGGAAGGAAAGCTGAATATTTTCCTCTCTCTCTCTCTATCGCAGCTATTCACTTTTGATTATCTAGCTAGCGCAGTCTGTTAAACCATAGGCTGTCTACAGAATGGCAACCTATTCCCTGTGTAGTGCACACCTTTTGAACGCGTGGGCCCTGGTCAAAAGTAGTGCACTACATAGGGAATAGGGTGCCTACTTGGACGCATACATAGAGACTGTGTATGAATCAAAGCAGGATTAGCAGACGCTGGCACTACAGGGAACACCAGAGTTCTAACTTTCTGGCATCATTATTTCTTGAAAACGTGCAAAGATGTATGTACAGTATGATGTTTTTACAACGTCATTAGGTCGCTAGAGAGTTTGTTTGATTTGAATGTCAAAACTTATCAAGGCACATTTTGCTTTGATGATGTAATCACTCCTTTGAGATGTGAGTCAGATCTGACCCACGCATTTGTTCTGCCGTCTGTCTAAACACACCTACACTATCCCTGGTTGTGCAGAGGCCCTGTAGTGTGTGTATATGCACGTGTGTCAGGGCAGCAGGGGCTCGTCATACATACCCTGCTATCTGTGTCATCTCGTTGTCTGACTGGATGTGGAGTCAACATGGCTCACGGCACCGTACGGTTCTCTCTCCCACACACACAGGCGCACACACACATACACTCACTTGATTCATTAAGACAGGAGCCTCTTTTTACAAGCTGGAAAGCCCATGGCATTTAGACCTTTATAGTTTATCTCTCTCTCAATTCAATTTAATGGGCTGTATTGTCATGGGAAACATGTTTACGTTGCCAAAGCAAGTGAAATGGATAAACAAAAGTGAAATAAACAATAAAAAGTGAACAGTAAATATTACTCACACAAGTTCCAAAGGAATAAAGACATTTCAAATGTCATATTATGTCTATATAGAGTGTTGTAACGATGTGCAAATAGTTAAAGTACAAAAGGGAAAATAAATAAATATGGGTTGTATTTACAATGGTGTTTGTTCTTCACTGGTTGCCCTTTTCTTGTGGCAACAGGTCACACATCTTGCTGCTGTGATTGCACACTGTGGTATAGATATGGATATGGGAGTTTATCAAAATTGGATTTGTTTTGGAATTCTTTGTGGGTCTGTGTAATCTGAGGGAAATATGTGTCTCTAATATGGTCATACATTTGGCAAGAGGTAAGGAAGTGCAGCTCAGATTCCACCTCATTTTGTGGACAGTGTGCACATAGCCTGTCTTCTCTTGAGAGCCAGGTCTGCCTACGGGGGCCTTTCTCAATAGCAAGACTATGCTCACTGTGTCTGTACATAGTCAAAGCTTTCCTTAATTTTGTGTCAGTCACAGTGGTCAGGTATTCTGCCACTGTGTACTCTCTGTTTAGGGCCAAATAGCATTAGAGAGAGAGAGAGATCTGTTTAGGGCCAAATAGCATTAGCGATAGCGAGAGAGAGAGAGAGCTGGAGGGGAAAGAAGAGTGTCTTGACCAATACTCTTTTCGAGTGGGACGGTACTTACATTCTGTCTGTCCCCGGTCAGGTGGGCGAATTCCACCATTTGGTTCCCAAACTGGCTGAAGATCTGGACAAACTCCTGGAAGGTGCTCACTCTCTCCAGCTGCTCCAAGGTTACTAGCACCTGGGTAAATCAGGAACACTACTACAGTAACTATCGCTGACTCCCACACATTACACATAACAACTCGACTTAAACATCAAATATTATACACAGAACTCAAAGATGGCTCCAGCTTTCTACCCGAACCAGGTCTTGAGAGATGGAGTAAAGTTGCTGTGACACCGTTAAGATGTGTGTGTGAATGGGGTTATAGATACAGAACGAGGCAGCAAAGCAAATTGTTACGCAGACTCAATGTGGGCCTCGTCATACAAGTGATGGCCATCACGTTCACTTTCCACGCTTTCAAGCCAAAGTGTTCAGTAGACCAGCTTGTCAATGACTGACTGACTGCAACGACGTCGAGGACCTGTCTGTAGAAACAGGAAAAGGTCATTGTGACAGGAAGTGGAATCGTGTCCCAATCGTCTGGTGAACGGGGAGAGAGGGGGAGCGAGGGAGAGGAAGGAGGATTGATGGTCATGTCTCCATGTCTCAGCAGATCACTCTGGCCCTGAGGCTGGGTGGCACTTGAGAAACCAATCAAATCACAGTGATTTACCCCAATCACCTCTACTGTACACACTGGAACACACAGGGTGGGGTAAGGGGTGACCTGTGATTTCTCTGCAAAAGGAACGGAACAGAGTATATGTTATATGCGTGTTACTTTATGACATATGATTTTCATATCGTCATACCGTCCTTCTCTCATTCCGGGATTTACGGTATTACCAGTTTAGTACACGAGACGCAAAAAACATTGTGCATCTGTTACCAGAATTACAAAATTAGCACAAGTAATAGCGAATTTCCATGGAGGCTGCTAGCTAAATATGCTAACGAGAGTAAACGAAAATAAACAAATTGCAAAGACAGGCAAACCAGCTCATAAAGTTATACATATGTTGATCACTGATCGTCTAGATTCGTATCATCGACTGGACAGTCTATTTTGTTTATATGTTTTTTTATCCGAAAAGACTAGGTGATTTGGTGGTTCTATTTCCGTTGTATTTTTGAGACGCTACTCGATGAGATAAACATCAGGTTCAACTGAGAACACGTGTGTTTTTTAAACATCACAACACATATAGGTAGGAGCTACCGAATGTCATTTTTGGTGAGTCTGGACATTTACAATCGAACGTGAACAAGATACATTGTGCAAATGAACAACGTTTTGACGCATGCTTGTCTGCTCTGAAGCCGCATGTGTACACGCTGTCTGGAGTCGCTAGTGGCAACGGGCCTGCCTGCTCTGCTCTGAGAAGATGGGGGAGGAGCAGACAGGCGAAGAACAGAGAGGAGAGAAATGCAAGGAAATCAAAAGATAGCAGTGGCAGCTGTACAGATAACTCATCCAAAGGGTGTTGAGTTCTCAAACACGGCACAAAGATTACATCATATGATGCCCCGTCACCTTATTAATTCAGTAACTTACTTAGGGGTCACGTTAACGCAGAATTCTTAATTTTTCACACAGGAACAAAAATAACACGCGTAAGAAATCTCATGCTGCGTTTTGTAAATGCAGATCTAAAATGCATCTTACTGTAATTTCTGCTTGGCATCATACTAATTTTGTGCTGAAGTTGCACTTCTGAACTCAGATGAGAATTCACGAACGGGCATTCTATCTGCAGACAGCACTCTGACTGTGTAAGTTTCTTCTCCGTGTAGGCACTAGGCAGCCTACTTTCCTCAGGTAAAATGCAAGATGGAACTCTAAGCAAAACATTAGGAAATGTAGCTGGCTACATTCTTTCAATGATAAACAATAGCAATATGATGGTCATGCATTGTTTTAGCAAAAAACAAATTTACTTGTGTGGCTGCCAGACAAATAGTGTTCCACTTCTGTTCATGAAAATGAAGCTATTTTCTGCCTAATGTGTTGCACTAATGTATTTTCTGTGAAGGAAAACTATAGTTGCACGTCCCTCATCCCTCTATTGAAGAAAAAAAAAAAAACACTTGACCCTTGTCAATACACAGCTGGACTAGCTTTCACCAGTAGTGCTATTTACAAACAAACACGTGCTTGTCCTTCTAGACCTGTCTGCTGCCTTTGATACTGTGAACCATCAGATCCTCCTCTCCACCCTCTCCGAGCTGGGCATCTCCGGCGCGGCTCACTCTTGGATTGCGTCCTACCTGACCGGTCGCTCCTACCAAGTGGCGTGGCGAGAAGCTGTCTCCGCACTACGTGCTCTCACCACTGGTGTCCCCCAGGGCTCAGTTCTAGGCCCTCTCCTATTCTCGCTATACACCAAGTCACTTGGCTCTGTCATATCCTCACATGGCCTCTCCTATCATTGCTACGCTGACGATACACAACTAATCTTCTCCTTTCCCCCTTCTGATAACCAGGTGGCGAATCGCATCTCTGCATGTCTGGCAGACATATCAGTATGGATGACGGATCACCACCTCAAGCTGAACCTTGGCAAGACGGAGCTGCTCTTCCTCCCGGGGAAGGACTGCCCGTTCCATGATCTCGCCATCACGGTTGACAACTCCGTTGTGTCCTCCTCCCAGAGTGCGAAGAGCCTTGGCGTGACCCTGGACAACACCCTGTCGTTCTCCGCTAACATCAAGGCGGTGACCCGATCCTGCAGGTTCATGCTCTACAACATTCGGAGAGTACGACCCTGCCTTACACAGGAAGCGGCACAGGTCCTAATCCAGGCACTTGTCATCTCCCGTCTGGATTACTGCAACTCGCTGTTGGCTGGGCTCCCTGCCTGTGCCATTAAACCCCTACAACTCATCCAGAATGCCGCAGCCCGTCTGGTGTTCAACCTTCCCAAGTTCTCTCACGTCACCCCGCTCCTCCGCACACTCCACTGGCTTCCAGTTGAAGCTCACATGTTACAAGACCATGGTGCTTGCCTATGGAGCTGTGAGGGGAACGGCACCTCCGTACCTTCAGGCTCTGATCAGTCCCTACACCCAAACGAGGGCATTGCGTTCATCCACCTCTGGCCTGCTGGCTCCCCTTCCTCTGCGGAAGCATAGTTCCCGCTCAGCCCAGTCAAAACTGTTCGCTGCTCTGGCACCCCAATGGTGGAACAAGCTCCCTCACGACGCCAGGACAGCGGAGTCACTCACCACCTTCCGGAGACATTTGAAACCCCACCTCTTTAAGGAATACCTGGGATAGGATAAAGTAATCCTTCTACCCCCCCAAATAATTTTTTTAAATTAAATAATAATAATTGTAAAGTGGTTATCCCACTGGCTATAGGGTGAATGCACCAATTTGTAAGTCGCTCTGGATAAGAGCGTCTGCTAAATGACGTAAATGTAAATGTAGATCAACTGTTCTGGGAACTGTACTGAACAAAAATATAAACGCAACAATTTCAACGATTTTACTGAGTTACAGTTCATATAAGGAAATCAGTCAATTGAAATAAATTCATTAGGCCCTAATCTATGGATTTCACAACTGGGCAGGGGCACAGTTTTTCCCCACAGAAGGGCTTTGTTACAGACAGAAATACTCCTCAGTTTCATCAGCTGTCCTGGTGGCTGGTCTCCGACGATCCCGCAGGTGAAGAAGCCGGATGTGGAGGTCCTGGGCTGGCGTGGTTACACGTGGTCTGTGGTTATGAAACCTGTTGGCCGTACTGCCAAATTCTCTAAAACAATGTTGGCGGCTTATGGTAGAGAAATTAACATTACATTATCTGGCAACAGCTCTGGTGGACATTTCTGCAGTCTGCATGCCAATTCCACGCTTCCTCAAAACTTGAGACATCTGTGGCATTGTGTTGTGTGATAAAACTGCACATTTTAGAGTGGCCTTTTATTGTTCCCAGCACAAGGTGCACCTGTGTAATGATCATGGTGTTTAATCAGCATCTTGATATGCCACACCTGTCAGGTGGATGGATCATCTTGGCAAAGGAGAAATGCTCACTAACAGGGATGGAAACAAATTTGTGCCCAAAATTTGAGAGAAACAAGCTTCTTCTGCGTATGGAACATTTCTGGGATCTTTTATTTCAGCTCATGAAACATGGGACCAACACTTTACATGTTGCGTTTATATTTTTGTTCAGTATATAAATCTTCACAATGTAAAATAATGTGAAGGGTAAAATGAAGAACATGCTTTATCTCCTAACGCATTGCACAAGTTGACTGCAGATAGCTACAAATATTACAATTTATTGAAAAACTTGAAATAGTTAACGGTATTGATGGCATTGAATAACAATCCAGTGGCTATTTTTACCCCGGTATACGGTATACCGCTTAAGGCTAATACATACCTAGATAGATTCCTGGTAGCATATTATCTGTATTGCATTTAGACACAACTTGGTCTGACCTGACACATGCATCACCCAACAAAGATACATGGTTTAACCTGACATATGCATCACCAAACAAAGTCAGCTGATGCATAATGCATCAAACCTTTCACACCTCAGACCCCCCAAAAACATCAATTATATAACGCTGTGATCCATCCATCTGGAGCAGTGTGTGTGTGTATGTGTGTGTGTGTGAGAGAGAGATGGTGAGTGTGATGGTGTGTGTGTGTGTGAGAGAGAGATTGTGAGTGTGATGGTGTGTGTGGTGTGTGTGTGCATCAGAGGCTTGGCCTGGCTCTCGAAGGGTAAACAGTAGTGACATCCTGCAGGCCAGGCAGAAGAGCTAGGCTGTTATCAGACAGAGACAGGGTTCAAAATTAAATTGTGTTTGCCAGTAATGGGAGCAGCCCCGTCCCCAGTCTGTCCAAACAGGCCTTACTAGACTAGACCAAACAGGCCCTTACCCCCCAGGACCCCGTGTGTGAGCACATCCCCTTCCTGAAAGCACCAGGTAGAGAAATGGTAAATGTGCTTCTTCTGTTATCTCCAGAGCAGCAGAGGACGGAGTTCTCCTGTACTGTATCATGGAGCTCCGATAAGATCTGAAAGACTGGATGGAGTCGCCAGTGCTGGGCGTTTGTGTGTGTGTGTGTGTGTGTGTGTGTGTGTGTGTGTGTGTGTGTGTGTGTGTGTGTGTGTGTGTGTGTGTGTGTGTGTGTGTGTGTTGTGTCAGTGAAGGCTCCTCAGAGGAGGAAAGGGGAGGACCATCCTCCTCAGTGAATTTCATAAAAATAAAAATAGTGGGAAAAAAAAATAAGTCATCATTTTTAGATAACACTATACTAAATATATTCACGTCAACAAATAATTGATTAAAACACAATGTTTTGCAATGAAGGTCTACATTAGCCTCAACAGCACTCTGTAGGGTAGCACCATGGTGTAGCCAGAGGACAGCTAGTTTCCGTCCTCCTCTGGGTACATTGAGTTCAATACAAAACCTAGGAGGCTCATGTTTCTCACCCCCTTCCATAGACTTACACAGTAATTATGACAACTTCCTACAACCTATCAGAGCTCTTGTAGCATGAACTGACATGCTGTCCACCCAATCAAAGCATAAGCTACAGCTAGCTAGCACTGCAGTGCATAAAATGTGGTGAGTAGTTGACTCAAAGAGAGAGAGATAGCTATATATTTCGTTTTTTTTTTTTCACTTTCACTTACTTAGCTAGCAAATGCAGCTATCTAGTTTAGCCTACTCAAACACCCGGATCAAACAGAGACAGATGCTATGTTACCTTGTTGGCTATCCAACACTGGAACTCTTCCAAGTCAAGGTAAGCTTTTGGTTTTATTAATTTATTGCCACCGGGGCCCTGAACGTGTAACTGCTAAACTGCTTGCTAACTGTACACTGTACTGCATGACTGTAGCGGGTTTACCAACGTATTAGTTCTAGTAGCTATGTTGACTTGACGTTAGCTAATATGGTGACAATGATGTAAGCTGTGTGTAGCGGTTAGCGGTTATGATATGAAGGTTTGGCTTGTAACGTTTTGTTTTTTTCACCTGGTCACATACAGCTGATGTGTTGTGCATTTAAGTTCACAAGTGAATGGAAAAGGTGAGAGGAAGAAAACGCGTAGATGAGAGAAGGAATTATCCAACGATCAAAGGGATCATGCTGTTTGTATGTTGGCTGCTATGAAAGTGAACTGTGTTTGGGTGTGATCAGGGGTGTATTCATTCCGCCGATTCTGTTGAAAAACATTACTTAAATGGAAACAAACAGGGATAAACATACCTGAAGTTGTCCAATAGAAACTTGTTTGCAACTGTTGGGACTAATGATTACACCCTAGATCAGCTAGATGCAGCCTAAACCTATCGATGTTACATTGAGCTGGGTGAATGGAATATGAATGACAGTCATCCAATATGCTGGAATAGAAATAACGCCATGCTCATTAAAAAAAGAATCGTCCTGCCTTATCTTAAACGGCACAGACTGCCACTGGTGTGTGTGTTTGTGCGCACCTGCTTGTGTGTGTGTGTGTCTCTGTGTGTACCTACAGTGGGGGAAAAAAGTATTTAGTCAGCCACCAATTGTGCAAGTTCTCCCACTTAAAAAGATGAGAGAGGCCTGTCATTTTCATCATAGGTACACGTCAACTATGACAGACAAAATGAGAAAAGAAAATCCAGAAAATCACATTGTAGGATTTTTAATGAATTTATTTGCAAATTATGGTGGAAAATAAGTATTTGGTTACCTACAAAAAACGAGCAAGATTTCTGTCTCTCACAGACCTGTAACTTCTTCGTTAAGAGGCTCCTCTGTCCTCCACCTGTATTAATGGCACCTGTTTGAACTTGTTATCAGTATAAAAGACACCTGTCCACAACCTCAAACAGTCACACTCCAAACTCCACTATGGCCAAGACCAAAGAGCTGTCAAAGGACACCAGAAACAAAATTGTAGACCTGCACCAGGCTGGGAAGACTGAATCTGCAATAGGTAAGCAGCTTGGTTTGAAGAAATCAACTGTGGGAGCAATTATTAGGAAATGGAAGACATACAAGACCATTGATAATCTCCCTCGATCTGGGGCTCCATGCAAGATCTCACCCCGTGGGGTCAAAATGATCACAAGAACGGTGAGCAAAAATCCCAGAACCACACGGGAGGACCTAGTGAATAACCTGCAGAGAGCTGGGACCAAAGTAACAAAGCCTACCATCAGTAACACACTACGCCGCCAGGGACTCAAATTCTGCAGTGCCAGACGTGTCCCCCTGCTTAAGCCAGTACATGTCCAGGCCCGTCTGAAGTTTGCTAGAGTGCATTTGGATGATCCAGAAGAGGATTGGGAGAATGTCATATGGTCAGATGAAACCAAAATAGAACTTTTTGGTAAAAACTCAACTCAAGGACAAAGAATGCTGAGTTGCATCCAAAGAACACCATACCTACTGTGAAGCATGGGGGTGGAAACATCATGCTTTGGGGCTGTTTTTCTGCAAAGGGACCATGACGACTGATCCATGTAAAGGAAAGAATGAATGGGGCCATGTATCGTGAGATTTTGAGTGAAAACCTCCTTCCATCAGCAAGGGCATTGAAGATGAAACGTGGCTGGGTCTTTCAGCATGACAATGATCCCAAACACACCGCCCGGGCAACAAAGGAGTGGCTTCGTAAGAAGCATTTCAAGGTCCTGGAGTGGCCTAGCCAGTCTCCAGATCTCAACCCCATAGAAAATCTTTGGAGGGAGTTGAAAGTCCGTGTTGCCCAGCGACAGCCCCAAAACATCACTGCTCTAGAGGAGATCTGCATGGAGGAATGGGCCAAAATACCAGCAACAGTGTGTGAAAACCTTGTGAAGACTTACAGAAAACATTTGACCTGTGTCATTGCCAACAAAGGGTATATAACAAAGTATTGAGAAACTTTTGTCATTGACCAAATACTTATTTTCCACCATAATTTGCAAATAAATTCATTAAAAATCCTACAATGTGATTTTCTGGATTTCTTTTTCTCATTTTGTCTGTCATAGTTGACGTGTACCTATGATGAAAATTACAGGCCTCTCTCATCTTTTTAAGTGGGAGAACTTGCACAATTGGTGGCTGACTAAATACTTTTTTTCCCCACTGTACTTTGTTCTGTGTATCTGTGTCAGTGTGCATCTATGGCCCTATATCTACATTGTGTCTGTATGCATCTACAGTGAGGGAAAAAAGTATTTGATCCCCTGCTGATTTTGTACGTTTGCCCACTGACAAAGATATGATCAGTCTATAATTTTAATGGTACGTTTATTTGAACAGTGAGAGACAGAATAACAACAAAACAATCCAGAAAAACACATGTCAAAAATGTTATAAATTCATTTGCATTTTAATGAGGGAAATAAGTATTTGATCCCTCTGCAAAACATGACTTAGTACTTGGTGTTAAAACCCATGTTGGCAATCACAGAGGTCAGACGTTTCTTATAGTTGGCCACCAGGTTTGCACATATCTCAGGAGGGATTTTGTCCTACTCCTCTTTGCAGATCTTCTCCAAGTCATTAAGGTTTCGAGGCTGACGTTTGGCAACTCGAACCTTCAGCTCCCTCCACATATTTTCTATGGGATTAAGGTCTGGAGACTGGCTAGGCCACTCCAGGACCTTAATGTGCTTCTTCTTGAGCCACTCCTTTGTTGCCTTAGCCGTGTGTTTTGGGTCATTGTCATGCTGGAATACCCATCCACGACCCATTTTCAATGCCTTGGCTGAGGGAAGGAGGTTCTCACCCAAGATTTGACGGTACATGGCCCCGTCCATCGTCCCTTTGATGCGGTGAAGTTGTCCTGTCCCCTTAGCAGAAAAACACCCCCAAAGCATAATGTTTCCACCTCCATGTTTGACGGTGGGGATGGTGTTCTTGGGGTCATAGGCAGCATTCCTCCTCCTCCAAACACAGCGAGTTGAGTTGATGCCAAAGAGCTCGATTTTGGTCTCATCTGACCACAATACTTTCACCCAGTTCTCCTATGAATCATTCAGATGTTCATTGGCAAACTTCAGACGGGCCTGTATATGTGCTTTCTTGAGCAGGGGGACCTTGCGGTCGCTGCAGGATTTCAGTCCTTCACGGCGTAGTGTGTTACCAATTGTTTTCTTGGTGACTATGGTCCCAGCTGCCTTAAGATCATTGACAAGATCCTCCCGTGTAGTTCTGGGCTGATTCCTCACTGTTCTCATGATCATTGCAACTCCACGAGGTGAGATCTTGCATGGAGCCCCAGGCCGAGGGAGATTGACAGTTCTTTTGTGTTTCTTCCATTTGCGAATAATCGCACCAACTGTTGTCACCTTCTCACCAAGCTGCTTGGCGATGGTCTTGTAGCCCATTCCAGCCTTGTGTAGGTCTACAATCTTGTCCCTAACATCCTTGGAGAGCTCTTTGGTCTTGGCCATGGTGGAGAGTTTGGAATCTGATTGATTGATTGCTTCTGTGGACAGGTGTCTTTTATACAGGTAACAAGCTGAGATTAGGAGCACTCCCTTTAAGAGTGTGCTCCTAATCTCAGCTTGTTACCTGTATAAAAGACACCTGGGAGCCAGAAATCTTTCTGATTGAGAGGGGGTCAAATACTTACTTCCCTCATTAAAATGCAAATCAATTTATAACATTTTTTACATGCGTTTTTCTGGATTTTTTTGTTGTTATTCTGTCTCTCACTGTTCAAATGTTATAAATAAACATACCATTAAAATTATAGACTGATAATTTCTTTGTCAGTGGGCAAACGTACAAAATCACCAGGGGATCAAATACTTTGTTCCCCTCACTGTATGGCCCTAGATCTACATTGTGTCAGTGTGCATCTATGGCCCTATATCTAAATGTATATTGTGTCTATGATGTGTGTGTATCCCACTGTGTGGTAGGAATCGATACCTACTTTGTTGCGTGAGGTGATGATCTGTTTGATGACGATGCGGTCTGCGAGGACCAGGACTTTGGTGACGGAGGAGAGGAGCATGCGGGCGGCCTTCACCATGCCTGTCCGGTCACTGAACACTGTGTTGCGTCCGTCCACAGGGGGGGCCACCGGCGTCCCAACATCTGTCAGCTTGGCTATGGCATCCCCTAGGACAAAAAGGACAAAAGGAGGTGGAGAATGATGGTGATGAGGATGATCATGGTGATGAGGAGGATGAGGAAGAGGATGATGAGGATGATCATGGTGATGAGGAGGAGGATGATGGTGATGAGGATGATCATGGTGATGAGGAGGAGGAGGAAGAGGAGGATGATCAAATCTATAGGGATTTTTCTATATCATTCAGCATACAAATGCCATACAACATTTTCAGAGGTACCATATCAATTTTCACTGTATCTCCATTTTCTAATACTTGGTCATACTGCTTCACAGTGGTAAGTGTCTTTCAAACAATCCTCCCAGAGAGCTCATCATTTAGTGTTTCATGCAAACCCCATTATCCAAAAATGTGTTCAAAATGTGACATCTAGAATTCAGCTTCACTTTGTTTGAGATGTTTAGCTAGCTAAAGCCCCTTAGGTTCCCTCCCATGGTTGGTGCCCCCTCTCCTGTCAGTCAACAGCAGCACCATAAACCCCAGTAGGAACATCTCATCCTTAACAGGCAGGCTGGCACAGGAGGATTATATTCAGCCCGGTGGCACTGCAGCAATGTGATGCCAGCCAATGCCAGGGCCCAATTGGCAGGCCCTCTGAGAGGCATGACCAGGCCATTTCACACTGAGCGGCTGGTACACTGGAGGGTCATAGTTCGTTCACGAAATTCCAAAACAACCCTGGGTGGACGAGGGAAAAGGACGGCAAATAAAGGAAAATGAACACACAAATACTGAAGAACCTTAACCACAACAGTCTCAGGCAGTACAGAGAGAGAGAGAGAGAGAGAGAGAGAGAGAGAGAGAGGGAGGAGGGCGAAGAGAGAGAGACTTGTCTTACGTTGGATACATGGTTTGCCTCCTTATTTGGGTTGGCTTGCATTCCAAAAGAAAGTGCAATGATGCACTGATTGCATCCGGATGCCAGAATGCCACAAACCAGCTGAAACATTCAGCCTGGCTCACAAAGAATGCTGCTGAACCCCAGAATAGGCTCCGGAATAAGCACGGAGCATGATGATGCTATGCCAGATTCCCCCTCCATCACATAAGGGTTCCCCTATTTTGCTTCACAACAGTGTTGTAACAGTGTTGCTCATTCGCATTCTTGTTCTAGGCCAGACTCGTCACGGTGTGTTTGTTCCCCCATTTGTTCTATCCTGACCTTGTTCTTCTTGTGAAACATGGGTTTGAGTTGTGCAGAGAGAACAGCAATTTATTGAGCACGTCTCTTTATCGCTAAGCTCTCTTTCAATGGGAATTGTACACTTGACTTGATTAACATCTGTGGAGTCCTTTAACAAGTCCTTACCATAAAGATAGTCTTATAACAGGGTGATTGTGATGCTATGTAGTCTACAGCCTGCAGGTTGCACTGACAGACGGTTGGTGAGATACAGGACCTAGGTGCCTTTTAAACACTCACTATCCAAAACTCTTAATATAGTATTTGCCTCCTAAAACCTCAGTTAGAGACATTCATTTGTTTGGACTGGTCCAACAGAACAGACTGAAACCAACAACTCAGCCTCAGTGCCCCCTATCTACGATGTCGCCCCATGATGGAAATCACCAAATTAAAGTAATGTAATCACCTTTTTTATTTATTTGATTATGCTGCCTGCCTCCCTCCCTGCCTGCTGCCTCCATCACTGCCCCCCCGTCCTCCTTCCTGCCAGCCCGAATCCCTTCCTGCCTGCCCGTCCTCCGTCCTGCCTGCCCGTCTCCCTTCCTGCCTGCCCGTCCCCCTTCCTGCCTGCCCGTCTCCCTTCCTGCCTGCCCGTCTCCCTTCCTGCCTGCCCGTCTCCCTTCCTGCCTGCCTGTCTCCCTTCCTGCCTGCCCGTCTCCCTTCCTGCCTGTCCATGTACCTTCCTGCCTGCCCGTCTCCCTTCTTGCCTGCCCGTCTCCCTTCCTGCCTGTCCGTGTACCTTCCTGCCTGCCCGTCTTTCTTCCTGCCTGCCTGTCTCCCTTCCTGCGTTGGAGGAGTCCTGCTTAGTCTCTCCCTCCGTCTGGCTACACGTTAAGAGGCCATCAATCCTTTCCTGCAGATTTAAAGCTTTACCTCTCTTTCCTTCTATCACAGAGAAGACAACTTCATTCCGTCCCAAAATGACAGAGGGAAAAGTTCACATTCTCTCTTTTTAATGGTGAACGTCAAATATTATCTCAATAGAGTATAGAAGGTAAGATGGCAGATAGGAGTAGAAGGAATAAATTGGCCACAGTGGGCCACTCTGGCTGACAATTCCCACTAGCTCTCTTTTGTATGGGTTCAGCCCTTTTCAAATCAGCACACTGGGGGATTAAAAGACACTGTTACACATGCCGGTTCTCCCAAACATAAACCTATTATCCACTGTGTTGGGGGTCTAAATTCTTAATTCTTATCCTGTGAGATTTTGTTTTGGACTTATCAACAGGATAAGACTGCAATTGGGCTTCAGGCTTTAGGCTTTGTCCCCGTATTCATCTTGCTATTTTTCGCTTGATAAGAGTTGCAAAGCCGGCTCAAAAATATATTACACTGTTCAGTTGAAAGGGTGGTGATAGCCGCGGTGTAGATATCCTCCTCCCGCGAAGAGTGTTGAAAGAGGGGGGGCACAAGTGGGAAACAGCGGTCACATCTCCCTCTCCATTTACTCTCTCTTTTTGCCTCAATTATTTGTAAGCAAAGGATGCAACCGCCGACAGCTGAGGCTAGAGACAATCTCTCTCTCTCCCTCTGAGCAAGAGTCGATACTGCAGACGAGTGAACTCTGTCCAGAAGACAAACCTCAGAAAGCCTTCATTATGCCTGCAGCACTGCCTGGTACACAAACACTTCAGCCTCAAATCAGAACCATGACACAGCTCTCTACCTCTCCAAACCTGACTCACACTGTTATTTTCTCTGTCTCTGCATTTCCCCCCTCAAGCAAGAGCAGAAGTAACTCTGTTCACTTCACTTTAGCCTTAAGTCTTACAAACTTCAACTCAACTTCACTCAAAACGAACAAAAACAACAAAGCCTCCAACTTCTGGATGCCTCCGGTGCGGTTGTGTTTGATAGGCAGAGTGATGTCTTGAAGGAAAACACATTTTAAACCATTTATTTATGATGAAAACAATCCCAAAAACACTCCGTTAGTTGGACTCCTAGACTGCATCCGAAATGGCATCCTATTCCCTATATAGTGCACTACTTTTGACCAGGGCTCGTATGGGGCTTTGGTCAAAAGTAGTGCACTAGATGGTAGGGCTGGGAATTGCCAGGGACCTCACAATACGATATTATCATGATACTTAGGTGCCGATCCGATATATTTATTGCAATTCTCATGATTCTATATGTATTGCGATTCGATAGTGATTTTATTGCGTTTTGGAGCAGGTACACCCAAATAGCGCAAAAAATAATATTGAGTTATTGTCAAAACGATAGGATACGATATATCCCAATATGTAACTGTATCGATCTTTTCCCACATCACTACTACATAGGGAAAAGGATGCCATTTCAGACACAGACCTAATTACCTGCTCTGCGGGCCTCGAAACAAGCCATGCCCATCTCCTCCTTCAGCTCCTCGTTCTCCACGGCGATGGCCTCGCCTACGGCAACAAAGCGTCCCACAGCAACGCTGACGGCCTGGCCCACTCTCTGGATGGCCTGCTGGGTCCGCTCCGACTTCTTCGGCTTGTCTTTGTGGTTGATCAGTGTGGTGATCTAGGAGGATACAGAGACTGGTCAGTGTGGTGATACAGAGACACAGGCTGGTCAGTGAGGTGATACAGAGACACATGCTGATCAGTGAGGTGATACAGAGACACATGCTGATCAGTGAAGTAATCCTTGTCTGTTTGTAATATAGGTGTATAGGAACCACACTACCATTTAAAGGAATCATATTTTGGGGTGGTGCTACCAGAGAATGCTGTCATAGCTGGTGAGGAAATGGTTATCTGAAGACTGCTGGTTTAAATCCCAGTAATTCTATCTAACTTTCCATGGCACAGTGTGCTGCTGTGCTCAACCTGAATCAGCATACCAACCCATTTCACTGTGGAACAGCATGTTTTCCCAAAACAAATCACTGTCTACACCATCCAGGGTCCAGTGTGTAAACACAGGCCGTGGTTCCACCACTTTGCCCAAGTGAGGAACCAGAAGAAAAGTAGAAATTAGAATCATTTCCTTTTCCCGGAGAGAGACAGAGAGCTGATTGCTGATTTCCTATGGAGTAGCCTAACAGGTGGAGAGCCGGCTGTGAGAGAGCAGGAAAGAAGAGGTGTCTCCCGTAGCGCAGCACGCATGCACGCACACACACACAACTCACGTGGGGCCTGTTAGCGACGATCAGAGTCATCTATTATGTATAGGTTTTAACCAATTACTATCAATTATTCAATGATTGTTTCCATTCAGGTAACTAAGGCATTCCCTTCCAGACCATAACAGAGCACAATTGGTGAGAGAGCAGTCGGGGGAATTTAAATTGGTACACAACTGGCATTCTCAAGGCCCACTAACTCCTGGAGTGTGTCCCAAATGGCACCCTATTTCCTTTGTAGCACACTACTTTCGACCAGGGCCCACTATTAAGGGAGAAGGGTGCCATTTGGGACACAACACTGTGGTCAGGTATCTATAATGTAGTAGGTTTACTGTACAAACCATGGTGCTTATAAACAAGTTTAAAACAATTGTAAAACACGTGTAAAACTGGCTAAACTTGGCTCCGCAAAACACAGCTATCGATTCCTTCCAAAAATCTATGTGGTTGGATTATTTGAAACAAGATTTCATCCAAACAGTGTCTCAAATGATTATTTTTGGATTTGGAAAAAAAATTAAAATACCTCATAACTGACTTTAGAATAGAAAGTGATGGAACAGATAATGTGTGTCCAATACCTATATAGGTGAATTGGAAAAGAGGACCAGAGGGAGAAACAAAGACAAGAGAGAGAGAGAGACAGAAAGAGAGAGAGGTAGAAAGAATGAGAACGTAAAGAGGAGGCACTAGGGAGCTGGAACGTAAAGAGGAAGGACGAGGGAGCTGGAACGTAAAGAGGAGGCACAAGGGAGCTGGAACGTAAAGAAGAAGAACTAGGGAGCTGGAACGTAAAGAGGAGGCACTAGGGAAATGGAACGTAAAGAAGAAGAACTAGGGAGCTGGAACGTAAAGAGGAAGCACTAGGGCGCTGAAAATAAAAGAGGAAGCATTAGGGCACTGGAAGGTAACGAGGAAGCACTAGGGAGCTGGAACGTAAAGAGGAAGCACTAGGGAGCTGGAACGTAAAGAGGAAGCACTAGGGAGCTGGAACGTAAAGAGGAAGCACTAGGGAGCTGGAACGTAAAGAGGAAGCACTAGGGAGCTGGAACGTAAAGAGGAAGCACTAGGGAGCTGGAACGTAAAGAGGAAGCACTAGGGAGCTGAAACGTAAAGAGGAAGCACTAGGGAGCTGAAACGTAAAGAGGAAGCACGAGGGAGCTGGAACGTAAAGAGGAAGGACGAGGGAGCTGGAACGTAAAGAGGAAGCACTAGGTAGCTGGAACGTAAAGAGGAAGCACTAGGGAGCTGGAACGTAAAAAGGAAGCACTAGGGAGCTGGAACGTAAAGAAGAAGAACTAGGGAGCTGGAACGTAAAGAGGAAGCACTAGGGCACTGGAACGTAAAGAGGAGGCACGAGGGAGCTGGAACGTAAAGAGGAAGCACGAGGGAGCTGGAACGTAAAGAGGAGGAACGAGGGAGCTGGAACGTAAAGAGGAAGCACGAGGGAGCTGAAACGTAAAGAGGAAGCACGAGGGAGCTGGAACGTAAAGAGGAAGAACGAGGGAGCTGGAACGTAATGAGGAAGCACTAGGGAGCTGGAACGTAAAGAAGAAGAACTAGGGAGCTGGAACGTAAAGAGGTAGCACTAGGGAGCTGGAAAGAAAAGAGGAAGCACTAGGGCGCTAGAAGGTAAAGAGGAAACACTAGGGAGCTGGAATGTAACGAGGAAGCACTAGGGAGCTGGAATGTAAAGAGGAAGCACTAGGGAGCTGGAACGTAAAGAGGAAGCACGAGGGAGCTGGAACGTAGAGGAAGCACGAGGGAGCTGGAAAGACAAGAGGAAGCACTAGGGCGCTGGAAGGTAAAGAGGAAACACTAGGGAGCTGGAACGTAAAGATGAAGTACTAGGGAGCTCATCAAGTGCAGTGGGGATAGGTAATTCCCCTTCATCCACCTGCTTTTCACAGCCCACTCTTCAACCAGAATCACAGCCCACTCTTCAACCAGAACAGATCCACAGCCAACTTTTCAAACAGAACAGAACCACAGCCAACTCTTCAACCAGAATCACAGCGCGCTCTTCATCCAAAACAGAACCACAGCCCACTCTTCAACCAGGCGGCAGGTAGCCTAGCGGTTAAGAGCGTTGGGTCAGTAACCGAAAGGTCGCTGGTTCAAATCGCCAAGCAGGCTAAGTGAAAAATATGTCGATGTGCCCTTGAGCAAGGCACTTAACCCTAATTGCTCCTGTAAGTTGCTCTGGATAAGAGCATGTGCTAAATTACTAAAATGTAACAAAACCAAAGCCCATTCTTCAACCAGAACAGAACCACAGCCCATTCTTCAACCAGAACAGAACGACAGCACACTTTTCAACCAGAACCACAGCCCATTTTTCAACCAGAACAGAAGATGCTCGAGGCATATTAATTGGAAGGGGGCGGCGGGTGAGTTTGGAGTGAGTGCGTGACTACGTGATGTCACAGTGTAGCCGAGTGGGACGCGATGGTTGGTTTAGTGACATGTGTCCCTGAAGAGTAGGATAATCAGAAAACGAGAGAAAATGTAACAGAGCATATCTCTCACTCTCGCCCTTATCTGCCCCTCTCTCTCTTCCTCTCTCCTTCAATGCATCACAACAGCGTTGCCTGGCCAGGATTAGATAGCCACTAGTTACGTTGCCTCCAAACCAAGGAGCTCTCGATAACTCACCTACAGAAAAAAATTAGCCATTCTATAGGAAAAGGGAAATCCAATTTCTGTCCCAAAGCCTGAATACTGGATGAGTTCTACTACTGTATATAACAGTATAGGACAATGGTGACTCAGTGATAGAGTTACCATATATCATACTGCACACAACCTCTGCAGAACATTAGAATGTTTGGCCTGAATTCAAATCAACATCACAGTGACATTTACATTCTGTGCAGACTTAATGGACAATCCATTTTTCTAATCTAATCATTAGAGTCATGTGTCTTCACTACCCAGTAGATGAGGATAACGGATGGTGTGTGCGTGCGTGCGCATGGCGTGCGTATTTGGCGTGCAGGTCATAAAGGGCCTGAATCAGGGGCATCTGCCATTCATGACACTCAAATGCCCTCTCGTGCTGGCACTCACCCAGAAAAGAAGGGATGAGACAGAACCTCGGGAACCTGACCAGTGCATCTGGTTGTGTCCCAAATGGAACACTATTCCCTATATAGAGCACTACTGTTGACCAGTCCCTGGGAAATAGGGTGCCATTTGGGAAACACCCTCTGCCTTTTAGCAGCCTGTTGAACGACTGTGGAAACCTGATAATAGCTCCCTCCGTGAGAAATCCCTCCATTTACTCTTGAAGAACAAGGAGAAAATGAGAGAGAGAACGAGAGAGTGAGAGAAAGAGAGGGGGAGAGAAAGAAAAAGAGAGGGAGAGAGCTGCTATATGTGTCTAAAACCAAAAGAGGGAGGGAGGGAGGGAGGGATGCTATATTGCTCTAAAATCAAAAGAGAGAGAGACATATGGGTCTAAAACCAAAATGTCTCATTATCTGACAGAGAGGAGGAAAACTGGCCAACACCAACAAACTATAGCCTAGCTCTAAACACTACACCATACATCAGCCTATATATTTTGGCTTGGTCATACGGACCACAGTATGCTGTCAATTCCTCTCTCTTATCTTACTGTCCATGTGGCTCTGTTCAGACCAACAATAAAAGTGACATTATCTTTATTAGTCTTATCAGCAACAAGCCCCTGTATCAATATGAAGTCAATATGTCCATCCAAACAGTAATGCTATGAACACATTCTATGTTTGCGTCCCAGAATTGCACCCTATTCCCGAAGTAGTGCACTACTTTTGACCAGAGCCCTATGTGCCCTGGTCAATAGCAGCGCACTAAATAGGGAATAGTGTGCAATTATAGTGTCCAATAGTGTCCAATCTAATTAAGCAAGCCATTCAGTGGAAGTTGTTCTTGTTCAACAGCATCAGTGTCTGTGGTTGTCAGGCAAAAACACTGCAGAGTGTTATTCATTTGAGTGTGAAACGTGGCATTGAGCACGCAAGCGCACACACACCTGACACACCCCCATGCATCCCACTGAGAACAGAACAGCCTCAGAGCATCATGCTGATGAAACTAATACCTGTCAAGGATTCAGAAGAAAACAGCTAGACTTCAAAGAACAAACAAAAACAAATGTTTCTTTAGCCTCAGACTTTATCGGAACAAAGCACATCACCTGTTTATAGAGGAGTACACAAATACATACAGATAGAGATGCCGATGCGCACGCACGCCCAGACCACACGCAATTACGCACACATCACATTGCTGCAACAACAAAATCCAACCCCACAATGGAAACAGAGGAGAAGAACAGGAGAGAATAGGCTTTGATGTGTATGGGCTTACAGGAAACGTATTCCTGAAGGACACACTGACTATAAATCTGACTTTTAACTAAATCTGGAAATACTTGTGCCTGCCTCCTGTGCCTGCCTCCTGAGGCTACCCCCTGAGGCTACCCCCTGAGGCTGCCTCCTGAGGCTACCCCCTGAGGCTGCCCCCTGAGGCTGCCCCCTGAGGCTGCCCCCTGAGGCTACCCCCTGAGGCTACCCCCTGAGGCTACCCCCTGAGGCTACCCCCTGAGGCTGCCTCCTGAGGCTACCCCCTGAGGCTGCCTCCTGAGGCTACCCCCTGAAGCTACCCCCTGAGGCTACCTCCTGAGCCTGCCTCCTGAGGCTACCTCCTGAGGCTACCGACAGCTCAACAAAATACTCAGTTTTATCATATCAATGTAATTCTGTCTTTCTGCCCTTGGTGTAATAATATCCGTGTGTGTGTGTGTGTGCGCATGTGTTTTTCTATTTACACAAAGGATTTCAATCATACTCTGTTTCTGAGAAGCGATCTAGAGGCTTTCCAGTTATTGGTAAATCCCATAGGGAAAATCCAGTCAATTCTTCTTAGCAGTAATAGCAAACACTGTGGCTCTGTCAAGATTGCAGCCTAATCCCTACGTAGTGCACTACTTTTAACCAGAGCCCTGGTCAAAAGAAATGCACTACATAGGGAATCCAGTGCTTTGC